CACAATATAGCAAAAGCCAGCCTTTAGGTTTGTCTTAATCCCATTATGTTCTTGTTTTTTTCAATCTTTTGAGAGTACATAGATGAGTGCTTCTGGTTCCATTGTATGGCCGCTTCCCCACATTTCGCGCACAGACGCTAATAACTTTCCTTTCGCCACTTTTCCCGGAGTTTTCAATTCTCGTTCCCATACACATATCTGACTTGCTTTCTCGACTTCACTACGCAAATCTGCACTGCCAAGTCATGTGTTATTGTGTAGACATTCGCCAACCTACACTCGAGATCCACACAAGAAAATACGCATCTAATACACAGTGAACCACCAACATACCACATATTTTCCAACACAATAGATTCCAACACTACATATTTTCCAGCATATTGTGTTCTCGTACAGAAGAAGATGTCGGTCGAATCATCAACTCTGCCGCACTTTACTCACTTGGACTTTTGATGAACCCCGCTTTTCATGCCAAGGTCTTTTACTGTTTACTTTGCTGGCTCGTACCTCGGGTCGGTCGCGCACAATAGCTGCATGCACTCGCAAGCAAGTGAAGAGAGAATATGCAGTATGTTCTATGGGCTGCTTCGCCGACGACCTGCCTGCGCACAACAAGCAAAATCTAATCAGCGTCAGGCCCCCTTTGTTTGTAAGACGGTACCGTAGGTACAAGCAGGATGGGGTCTGCTCGCCTGGGCAGTCTTCTTGCGTCTATACCCCGTGTTTTCCTGTACCTGTGCACACAAGTAGTCCATGTATTTAGACACGCGTCCTGCACGGTTTGCAAGGGTTGTGAGATCTGGTATGCAGATAAGCCCAATTCTTACGAACACGTCTGTTCGGGCAGCGTTAAGAGCCTCAGCTATCTCCTTCTTTCTTCTCGTATTTTTCTTCTCGTGCCAAAAATGAATCCTCTCAGACTTCTATATGTCTTGGCCTTGCCGCTTCTTGCTTTGTGTACAGCAAATCTTGCCTTGGCGCCAGAAGAATTAAAGCATCTTGAAGGGGACCCCGAGGTCACGCATTTTGCCCAGTTTTCCATTGGCCTCCAGAAGTCGGAAACGGAGCTTGAGCATTTGGGTGACTTGAAGTTTGCGCTCTTTGGAAGCGTCGTTCCCATCACCGTCGCCAACTTCATCACCAGTATCGAGCAGGAAATCAATGGCTACACCAACTCTATTATCCACAGAGTGGTCAAGGGCGTTATTGCGCAGGGCGGCTTCTTGAAGAAAGTGGCCTGGAAAGAGTACGAGCCAATTGCCTACGAGAGATTCCCATGTGAAAACTTCCAGATTCTCCACAACAAGCCCGGCCGTATCTCGTTGGCCAGCACCCAGGACGACACCAACGGGATGTCGTTTTTTATCTCCATTCCGCAAAGCACCCTGTATTTCGACAACAAGTACGTGGTCTTTGGCCAGCTCGTGCTGGGCTTCGACGTTCTCCAGCAGATCAGCGAGACCCCCGTCAATGGAGAGACCCCCATTGGCGAAATCGTGATCACCAAGTCTGTCTACATGGACCCATCCTCTGTGCCCATGGTCATGGACTTTGGCGCGGTCACCGGCGAGTACTCGCTTTTCATTTACGGCGCCATAGCCTCGGCCGTGCTCTTTGCTATCTATCGCTTGAGAAACCGCAGAGGTCTTGTTGATCTCAAGGGCTTCAAGTTCTAGGCTCACCTGCCTGTGGTTCCGGAAACCTCGGTGCTCTCTTCGTCTTTTTATATTATAATCTGGCTGCGTTTGCGTTTGACTTATTTTGTTTGCTTCGACAGACCGCACTGGCTGTGCCGATGTACGTAGAACTGTTCTGTGCTTAGGTGGTCACTGCCTTGTCATGGAGAATGATTTTCGATGCCGGGCTGGAGCATGACGCGTCTAGAATCATATATAATGTCCAGTCGCCAACCAGCTTCCCAGAGGTGATTTTCGTGGACCCTTGATTCTTGGTACTCTCATTAGAGAAATCACCGCATATACGCCGCGTGTTCTTGTTTAACTGAACTAAACCAAGCCCCTTTTGAGAACAGGAATTCTGAGCACGAAAAAGCGATCTGCGTTTTCAGCCCCGTCGCATTGAGCAGTGAGCATTGTTTAGCAAGTGACGCTCAACTTCAGGTGGTAGTAATTTTTTTTTTTTTTTTCAGCCTGGCACAACATCTGTGCTTGTGGATTAACCAGCTTCAAATCCAAGACCAAAATCTAAGGCTTGGGCCGGCCAAATAGTCGGCCGAAAATTAGGCACTTTCCCAAACCCTTCTGACTTATGCGCCCAATGTTCGCGCACTCTGAGCTCATCAAGTAGCAGATGTTGAGCCCATCTGCTCATCACACTTCTTAGTGCACCTATCACAGCATTCGCCTCGTTCGTATCTAAACTCACATTCAAAATAGAACAGGGGACATGTCTCAGTTTCCGATTGTCGTGGTGAAAAACCTACCCTACAACGTGTCCACGGTCCTGCTCTACGAACTATTTTCCAATTTCGGAAAAATTCACCAGCTCAGAATATCTGACGGATCCGTGCCACAAGGTACCTGCTACGTGGTATTTGTGTCCACGGATGATGCCGCCAAGGCCGCGCGAGATCTCAACGGAGTGAATTTCAAGTCCAGGTACTTGGTGGCACACATGCTCCCGGTGAGCGACGAGCAACTACGTTCTTTGGGAAAGTAAAGGGTTTTCTTTGGGGACTGTCCAACAGCCGGGGAGTTTCAGGACATGTCTGGGGTCCTGAAAGTCTGGTGTTGATTTTTTTTGCTATGTATCTTACTGATCAATGGAAAGGTTCACCAGCCCCAACGCGTAGTAACTCATGAACCCGGCAAACACGAACGCGGCGATCTTGCCCACCTTGTGCCAGTAGCTGGCAGCAGGATACTTGTACTTGATCAAGACGTGCGTGTTGGCGACGGCGTCAATCACGTTCGTGAACTCAAGCGTGACCTTCACGTGGCCGTCCGACACGTCGAGGTAGCTCAAGTCGGTGCCCACCAGCACATTCTTGAAAGGCTCCGCAGCGCTGGCGTTGAGGTACACAGCATTCTCGGGCAAGTAGAAGTTGATGGATACTTTGTCGTAGTGGACGTCTTTGAGCGAGTTCAAGAGTGGGAATTGGGCCACGTACGTGTCCTCCTCGTCCACCACTTTCCGCACAAACGTCTCGAGCGAGTTGGTCCAGCCAAGCGTGAAGTTGTACTTCCAGCCGCCAAAGAGCGGGAATCTTGGCTGCACGACAAGGTTGTCGTGCGTGATCTTGTGCGAGGACACCATGCCCACTTTGTCCGTGACATAGTAGTCATTGTACGGCGCCGTCTCGTCAACGGCAAAGATCAAGTGGGAGAGCGCGTGGTGGTCCTGGAGAAGCTCGAAACGGCCCTTCAACCAGTCCGTGCGCGAAAAGCCGGTCTTCAATTCGGCACCTCGGTTGTAGAGCTCGTAGTACTCCTCGGTCAGCACCACGTCCACGTCGGAGCCGGGCAACCAAAAGCTTCTCTCGTAGTTGGTCACGTGGGTCAACGGCCTGTTGTGTTCGTACAAGAGACCCATGGGGCAGACGGAGTACGACGGGATCGTGGCCTGGACCGGGCCGTAGGTCAACGTGCGAGACTCTTTGTCCACGCGCGGCTCCAAAGAGGGCAAGTCGGGCGTGGGCTCGGGCGCTCCCACCAACTCCATTTCCTGGCCCTTGGGGAGCCCCTGGAACGTCATCGAGTACTCGGAGGTCACGTACGGCGAGTAGCAGAACTTGTTGAGCTTGAGGAGCAACTGCTGGTGGTCCTCCATGTCGATTTTCGGGGGGAACGGCGTCACGGAGTCCGCGTAGGCAAACATGACGTTCAACTCGATCAGCGAGCCCGGCGCAATGGGGATCGGGAACTTGACGGCGTAGATGCCCTCATCCAACTCGACCACAAGGGCACTTTCCTTGCGCTCCGCAAGCACAACTCCGTAGTGAGACACGTTTGTGATGGCGTCGAAGCCGTCGTTGACTGGCAACACGTACAAGTCCTGGGTCTCGGGCGAGATGTTCTTGACCTCGATCAAACAGCGCTCGGTGACGTACGAGTTCGAGAGGTCGAGATTCCGGTAGTACCGGGAATTCTCCCACGCAGAAGAGTCGATCTGGAACAGCGAGCAGGCGGCGATAGCAGCAAGCGCCAAGTAGACGGGAAGCCACGACCAGAGCATGCTATTTTTTTTCGGTGGGGAGAAAAAGGGTGCTAGGAAATGGAGCTTGTCGAAGCGCCTGGTGCTGATGGACACTTGGCCTTAACAGCGCGCCACGGTGCAGGAACCGCTGCCTCTGGCTCCACGCTATAACTTCCCCAGGGCGAGCTTCTTGGGGGCCTAGTGTGCGCATGGACGGCTGAGCGGTCCCCTAATTGTTTTATTCTGTTTTTTTTTTTTGTGAGTGTGTTTCTTTTTTGTGTTTGTGTTTTTGCTTCTTGTATCTTTTCGGTGCTTTCATTTCTAATCGTAAGCGTCTTTGTTGTTCTGCTTATGTCTGTATTGGCGCAGCACGCGTAGTCTCAAGCTTTGCTGGCCCTGGCGTAAAAGGCTGCGCGACAAAAAACAACAATGGGCCGTCGCGGGGGCGCCAAACATGAATCAGACCAAAAAAGACAATACAGTGCCGAGGCCATTGTTTCACAGCTATGAGAACGGCTGGTTTGCCGGTCCTTTGCTATACTCGAGACTGGGCGTTAGTTTTATCCACGGCCCGTTTTTGGTTTTTTGGCGGTGCTTTTGCTGATGCTGAATTAGTATTAAGGCCTCAAGGTAGTGGAATACTGGAAACACTAACCCTACCGGATACACTCACCAGCACCACAGTGAAACTAGACTTTGGGCTTGGGAACATAGATTTGGCCTGGCTTATTGACTTTGGCCATTTTCTTCTGAATTGGCATAGACAAGCCCGCTCTGGCCCGGCGCTATGCTGCCCATCCAGTCCGGGCCTGCCCCGTGAGTTTTCGGCCCCAGCCCCAATCGTGTCATTGGCCCAGTTGCGCACGTAGCGGCGCCGGGCGCATCACGTGACGAGACGGCCATGTGCACCCGGCCCAGCCATACGCCGGGGCGATTGCCGTGGCGTGAAAAAAAAAGAGAAAGCATGCAAGCGCCCCGGCGCAGCCATCAGAAAGCACCGATTTTTGGGTCGAGACGCAGGCAATCTCCCGTATTTGCTGCCGTTTCTGGATCTCTGGAAGGCGCGCCGCGGCCAAACAAGTATACCGGAGATTGGGTCAACAAACAGACCCCGCGAATCATTTTTAGAGCCTGGCGCCCCCGGCGCCCATGCGAGAAAAAAAAACGTGAGCAAGCTAGAGCCGAGTTTTCCGCACCCAGCGAAAACAGCACCTCCCACCGCCGTCACCACTTGACAAACACGGAACAGACCCCGCCGACCCCCTGAGTTCTCTCCTTGACTGCAGATCTGTAAACTGAATTTGAACCCGGCGCTTTTCGTTTTGTCCATCGCCCACCCACGTTTTTGCATCTGCCTGGCCGTTGCACACCCTCGTTCTGAGTGGAGATTTGAGAGTTACTTCCGCCTGATACTTTGGTGAGTAGGTATACCGCAAAAAGCACGATCCACAAAAACATCCTGTGTTTTGTCCGAGCCCGATCTGGAACAAGGCTCTCCAACGTCCGACGTCTCGTGAACACAATCTTCTACCCGTGAACACAACCTATAACGAGCATTCGTGCGCCTAGCTTCTGGCCTTCTCAAACCCAAGTCTCTGATACCAGAAAGAAACATGTCGTTGCACGACCTCATCCCTGTGGTCAACAAGCTTCAGGACATTGCGACCACCACGCAATTGGCCGAGATCGACTTGCCGATTTTGGCCGTCGTGGGCTCCCAGTCTTGTGGAAAGCTGTCGGTCCTAGAAAACATTGTAAGCAAGGACTTTCTCCCTAGAGGAACCGGCATTGTGACCCGGAGGCCCTTGGTGTTGCAGTTGATCAACATCAAGAAAGATGACCCTTTGGTGCGTAGCTACAACCCGGCCGACTTGCACGATGACACCTCATACTCCCTGTCCTCGGACGAAATCAACTTGGAGGCCCACCTCAGAAATCTGACCCAGGGGGCGGGCAACGCGTACCAGAAAGACGAGCCCTCCGAGTGGGGCGAGTTCTTGCATATTCCAAACAAGCGCTTCTACAACTTCCACGCCATCAGACGCGAGATCGAAAATGAGACCGCCCGCATTGCGGGTCAGAACAAAGGCATCTCCCGCTTGCCCATCAACTTGAAGATCTACTCGGACCGTGTGTTGAACTTGACCTTGGTCGACTTGCCGGGACTCACCAAGATCCCCATTGGCGACCAGCCCAGCGACATCGAGAAACAGACACGCAGCTTGATTTTGGAGTACGTGTCCAAGCCCAACTGCATCATCTTGGCCGTGTCTCCTGCAAACGTGGACTTGGTCAACTCGGAATCCTTGAAGTTGGCCAGGCAGGTTGATCCGACGGGCAAGCGCACGGTGGGAATCTTGTCGAAGATCGACTTGATGGACCAGGGCACGAACGCGCTCGATATCTTGAAGGGAAACGTCTACCCCTTGAAACTCGGGTTTATCGGTGTAGTGAACCGCTCGCAGCAAGACATCCAGGAGAACAAGTCCTTGGACGACTCCTTGTACTCCGAGCAGCTGTTTTTCAGCAACCACCCCGCATACCGTGCCATTGCCAACAAGTGTGGAACGCGCTACTTGACCATCACCTTGAACAAGATCTTGATGAACCACATTCGGGACCGCTTGCCGGACATCAAGGCCAAGTTGAACACATTGATGGGCCAAGCCGAGCAGGAGTTGGCCTCATATGGGGACTTGCCCTCGTTGGCCGAGACCAAGGAGGGAAGGTCCGCTCTCCTCTTGAACTTGATGACGAAATTCGCCAACGGCTTTGTGAACTCCGTGGAGGGTACGTCTTTGAACGACTACTCCATCAAAGAGTTATGCGGTGGTGCTAGGATCTACTACATTTTTAACGAAGTGTTTGGTGCCCTGTTGGCATGCATCAACCCAACACACAACTTGGCCGTCAAAGATATCAGAACTGCCATCAGAAACTCATCGGGACCGAGACCATCGCTCTTCGTGCCTGAGTTGGCGTTTGACTTGTTGGTCAAGCCCCAGATCAGATTGTTGGAGGAACCCTCGCGCAGATGTGTTGAGATGGTCTACGAGGAGCTTATGAAAATCGTCCATAATGTATGCACCGCAGGCAATGGGCTGGATATGAACAGATACCCAAAGCTACAAGCCAAGCTCATTGAGGTGGTGTCGGACTTGTTGAGAGAGAGGCTTGGCCCTACCATCAAGTACGTGGAATCCATGATCGAGATTCAGCAAGCTTACATTAACACCAACCACCCAAACTTCGTTGGCGCTGCCGAGGCGATGGGGTCTGTTGTTCAAGAAAGACACAAGCAGAGAGAGATGGAACAATCCTCGAAGCTCAAGCTTGCCACCCAGCGGATCTTGAAGAAACCAAGCGAGGAAGAAGAAATCCCCGAGGAGGAAGTCTACGAGGACGAAAAGGCTGCAGAGCTAGATGTGAGCCAAGTCGACGACGACGTCAAGCCTGTGGTCCGTCACAAGAGAAGTGACTCCAACAAAACAAGCTTGTCGATGAAGTCAGACTCCACGCACCACGCCAACCACGAATCCTACCTTAACTATTTTTTCGGAAGGGACCCAATCATCCACCAGCAACACATGCAGACTCAGGCACAGTTGCATCCAACCCCATTCAAGTTCCCACAGGCGCACGAGCCAACATTGCAATTCAATAACAACTTTATTAACAACGGCACAATCCACGATTTGAAAGACTTGCATATCGATGATCGTTATGCGCAAAGTCTTCTGCACCACGATGTTGCCCACGCCATGAACGGCGCAGCACGCCATAACGTCGAAGGCGAGGAAGACAATCTCTCCGAATTGAGTGAAAGAGAGCAGTTGGAGACAGAGTTGATCAGAAGATTGATTGTGTCGTACTTCGGGATCGTGAGAGAGATTGTTCAGGACCAAGTGCCCAAGTCTATCATGTGTTTGTTGGTGAACTATATCAAGGTGCACATCCAAAACCGTCTCGTGGTCAAGCTTTACAACGAAAATTATTTCGACGAGTTGCTTCAGGAGGATGAGACCATCCAGATGGAAAGAGAGAAGTGTTTATCCTTGTTGAAGACTTACCGCGAGGCATCCAGGGTGATTAGTGACGTGGTATGAGAATATGATGAAATTTATATGGGTGAGTTGTATATATATGAGTTGTATATAAGAATGCAAATGAAAAGAAATGAAGTTGTAGTCACGAGCAAATGACTCGTGTTTTGCCATGATAAATCCAAGTGCTTGTGCGGCCCCACACAACGATTTCATGATCTGGGACGGTGTAGCACGTAGAGGTCCAAAGGGTCCACGACATTGTTATTTATAAGCCTCTGCTTCTGTAATTTATAGCTGATAGATTTCTTATCGTCCAGGGGCGAAGTCTCGTCATCCGAGGCCGGCTCGCGTCTCGTGAAATCAAACTTGACGCTCTTCTCTAGTAGGGCAGAGCCCCGGGTGTCTCTATGGTCAATTTCGATTTTTTTGTCCTCAAGAAACCGAATATCAGCTGGAACTTGGAGGCGCTCCAATTTGAAGCGCAAGTCTGCCAAGTACCCTAGAGAAACTACCACTTTACACGTCCAAGTGTTCGACAATTCCGACACTGATTTCACCAGGCGCAGAACGCTCCGTTGAGGGAACAATTCTGCGAGAGGTGTTTCTAGTAGAACACGCCTCAACTGTGAGCCAACATCGAGAAGAAGATTAGTCAAATCGAAGTTGCTGAGCCGGATCAGGTTGATCAGCGAAAGCTTGATGATAGATTTCTCGTTTACCGCCACCTCACTCAGCAGAAGAATTTTTTTTCGGTTCACAAATACACGCACAGGGATAGCCGTGCCCGGGGCTACGGAGATGTACGTCACAGTTGCAGGCATTGAATGGTTTATTTAGAAACGACCTTCAAATAAATAATAGTGGCTATGCATGGTTGCGATCGGCGAGCAGAGGCTCCAGGCGCTGTGGTGCGCACTACTTATTAAAGACATGGCAAGAGATTGCAAGCAATTATGAAAAAGGCTAAGGGGAAAGTGCAGGCAGTGGAAGCTTAGTGAATTTTTTTTGCTGCTGCATCTAATATTGTTTGTCAGATTGGGTGTGTGAAGAGCGTAGTAGCGATGGCTACCTGGAGCACGAGCTGGTTTCATTACTTTAGCATGTATCTAATTTTAATTCATGAGCTTTTCACTACGGATGTTCGGGCATAAAGGCAATATGCGGAAACGTGGCATAAGTCCAACATCGTTTGTAAATAGTCCAAGGTTTCAACAACACCAGATAATTGAAGCTCGATATTGGAGATTATGATACCGTCAAGCCAGGAGATTAAACAGTCATATCCAGAACCATGAGACCTTAAAGTTTCTTCATGAGTGCCATGAAGTGAGCCAATTGCCACATCATGACTCTTTTGTCTCTCAGAAGATTTGATTTATTGATTCTCCTTTCTTGGCATATTGCGTCTTTCCTGAGTCGATTATGCAAGCTCAGCCTTTTAGAGGAAGTGATCTTCTATTTGTCTCTCTCAAAAGGTTTTGCGCCGAGAATTGCTTTGCTCCTATTTGCTAACTTCATTTGGTCATATTTTGAAGGAGCAAAAATTTGAGATTTTTACAAAGAAGCTTGAGCCTGCCTAAAATACGGACCTAATCAGAATGCGACTCGCCCCTTTTAGATGATCACGATGTGAAAGTCTTGTTGACATGCGTCTGTTTCCGCATTAGACAATAGTAAAAAAATCCTGGGATAATTTTCCTGTAGTAGTGGCCTCAACTAAAAGGGTTGAAGAGATTACATCTGCCACTGGCTGTGTCTACGAGTGATACCCTGAAGGTAGTGAAGACGGACCAATTCGAACGATCCAAGTTTTCCAAAGAGTTGTCAATCGGGGCCAACCTTCCTTTCAATCCAAGGGTGGGATATCTGAGGACTTGCCCCATTTGCAGATGTGTAACAAAGTATCGTAAAATTGCAAGCGCCACCAGAGCCTATAAGCCGTCTGAAGAGATTGAAATTCGGATCAGATGATAAGGCGTCAGGGGAAATTTTAAAATCTTCTCACAAGAAACCGCTCCATCGAAGAATCTGCTTGAATTGCTTGTATTTGTCTTGGTCCCATTGAATGCAATTTCAAAAGCTTGTGTCCACCGTTTATATAGTAGAGGGTCAAGATAAAATCCACACCCTTGCGCATAATCTCTCCTAATCACATCAGCAAACCAACTAAGATCACGCAGATTTTTAAGCGTCTAGTAAAGCGATAATCTTTTCGAAGGTAAAGAATTTTTTGGCACCCATATTCAGAGACTTCACATATTTGTTTTGGTAGATTCATCTGAAGCACAAGACTATACAATGATATTTAAAACACCTTTAAACAGCTCCCAGCTACGTACCATCGACTGTAAAGTCTCCTCCCATGATAATCTCAAGGATTGGGATTAGATCACTCCAAAACATTGTGCTTAAAATGCTTCATGAGACGCAAAGTAGACAACTTTATAGTTTATGAACCCAAGGCTGTAACAATATAGTCTGCTGCAAATTTTCTTGGATAACAACTAGCAGCGCAGTGGCGCAGTGGAAGCGCGCAGGGCTCATAACCCTGATGTCCCCGGATCGAAACCGGGCTGCGCTAGTTTTTTAAAGTCAAAGTCTTTTTTTTTTTCTTCGAAGCTAAGTTATTCAACAATTTTTTCATTTTGCATTTGGCTTACAATTTCCTGCCTCAAATATATCCTTCGGAATGGCGAACAAGTATTGGGCAAATTTTAGGCTTTATTTCTCATGTGAACTGTGGATGTTTGTTCGACAACTCTTGCCTGCACGCAAACGCGCTTATCAACACCGTGTCTTCAGAAATCTGATCTGCGTTCTACCCGTTAACTAGATAATGGTATGTCAGAGGTGTCCTTGTTGACACTGAAAGCCCAAAATAGAACTAGAATACTAACTGTATTTTAAGGCTTACCAAACTCCAAAGCAGAAGGCTGCGAATGCCAAATTCGCCAAGTTGAATGTTGACAAGCAGGGTAAACCAAGAAAAAAGGTTGAGACCATCAGATCCCCTGTTTCGAAAAGATGGATGGGTCTCTTGTTGTTCTTGATCTGTGGTGGCGCCGTGCTCGAGCTCCTTCGTATCTTATTTTAAGTTATTTGCGATAAGGGTGAGGATTCAGATGGAAGAGCTTTTACACTGCGAGACATTCAATCTCAAGGTGAATCAAGAGTTTATATTTTTTAGCTTGGAGGAGCCGAGCCTATAATCTATATGAGCAATATACTCAGGACTATCCAGCCCTTTAAATTATCATGTCCGTGCTAGGTGGGCACGGTTGTGAACGTGTAGCGTCTGGTGCAAATATATCCACCCCAAGTCTGACCAATGTTGTATTTTGGTTATCTTACACTTCTCTTTCTTGGCTTGCTTTTCCGTAATACTAGTCATCCGTTGCTTCTGGGATTATAATCAAACCTTCTTTGAGATGCTCTTCTAAATCCTCTGAGCTAAGGTTCGGGGTCTCGTATTTACCAGAGCCTGTGAATTCGTGCACCGATTGGGGCACCTCGTTACCAAATGTGGAGAAATAGTCCCAGAAGGAATCGCGTTTGTTGGAATTAAAAGCATACGAGCTGATGGTCACATTCCTGTCCTTAGTAATGCCTGGAAAAGGATTGCAAGTCTCTATCTCAGTTTGTGACAATGGAGCGTCGAAGTTTTGCTGTGTATGGCAGCTACCGGTATCACTGTATGCAAACGGGTTCCAAGTGGAATAGGATGGGCCATCACTATAGGCAATGCTTGCAGCTGGTTTTTGGTTCAACTTATACTTGAATGTGTGTTTCCCATTCATGGGCGACACCAAACGCAAATTCAAGGCCGAGTCTATGAACGCTAGCTGATTGCAACGATGTAAATCTAAGCTCAGGCTGGGCGCCAATCCATCATGACTCATATTGTTGGGCATGTTGGAAAAACCTGGAAGTTTTAGGAGCTTGACAGCATTTATGGAAGGTAGAATCCAGGAGTCCAAAAACTGGCCATTCTTGGGAATTGTCTGCGGCAGGAGCTCCATGGTGTTTGGAAAGTTATCGTTCTCATTAGCACAGAATAGGTAGTTGATGTTGTACCAGTGAACTGAGCCCGTTTTCTTGGAGATGCAACCAAACCCAGAATTCGTCACCGGCAGTCCATCTAGGGCCTTGTTGTTCACGAACCAGAAAATCTCTTTGATGACAGCACTGGTCTTGCCGCGGACAAACTTTCCCACGAAAGACACCTCGTTCGGTAGTTTGTAGAGGTCCCATAAATAGAAGCTATCGCCGCGGTACGTGGCCTGCGCCAACAGCAAGTCGTAGCTGCTGAGCGATAGATGGGAAATGCCACCGGGCGGTTTGAAAGTGGCCATGATCTGGCCGTTGGACAAGTCTATGATCTTGACCGTTTCGTTCTCGCCAATCATGTCGGCCTGCTTCTTGATCTTGCTGGCCGTGGAATACAAGGCGTTGCTCACCGAGGTGCTGATGGTGTGGAGCGAGACGTCCTTGTCAAAGAAGCTGTGTTCGGGGCTCCAGTAGGTCTTCACTTTCTTGGTGCCGATTTGCGACAACTTGAAGAGGCGGTCGATGGCGGAGTTGGCCAAGCTAGACGCGGCGCGGAAGAAAAGGGGCCCTTTGGGCGGGAGTTTCACGGACGTGTATGCGTTCCCGGCGCCTGTCCGTGGACCTTTGGGTTTCAGGCACGACTCGTCCGTGGACCGCATCAAGCTTTTATAGTACTCCGTCTCCATGCGCATGGGGCAGTAGACAAGCCACGTGCCCACAATGTCGTATATCGCGGACCCGTCGAAGGTGGCTGTTTTCAAGAGGATGGTGCTGCTGGACGTGTCTTCGATGCCGTACTTCTCCACGAGCGTCCGTGTCGAGTGGCTGTACACCGCCTGGAGACTGCCATCACAGTTTGCTTCTTCCAACAACGCGTCGGGCGTTTCGATGCACCTGAGGACGTAGAGGAAGCCCGAGGACGAGGACACAACGACAAACCGCAGGGAGCCCTTCAACAGGATGTCGCTGCCCAGGAGATAGGCCGGGAGCAAGAATTCCTGGACCCGCGAGTCTGCCCGTGCCTCCACGTAGAAGTGTCCTGCGTGGGCGTATGCGCTTACAAAGATGGAGCCGTTTTCGGCAGCCACGAACGCCATTGCCGCCACGGCCCGGCCGGGCGCCTCGAATCGCGAGACCAAGGCAAGCGTGTCGCCACTATAAGGCTCGGCGCCGGTCGTGGCGGCGTCGTAGAAGTCGTGTGTGTGCACCGGGCCGTCTTCGCGGTGCAACGCGTACGGCCCCGCGGCCCGCCAGTTCCAGATCTCGTAGGTGTGCTGGGCCTCGTACCAGATGCAGACCTCGCCATTGGGCCCGTTTTCGACGAGGACGGGCGGCGCCGATTCGAGGCAGGAGGCAGGCTTAGTTTCCAGCACGGGCTCGCCGGGCCCGGGGTGCTTGTTCCGCGTGTCTGCTGCGGCCTGTTTGATCTTGTTCCATGTGGCCGAGGATGTGCCGAGACGCTGGCCACCTTGGGCGTGGGTAAGGCTGTTTCGTTAGTAGACAGGAGAATCGGGCGACTGTCTGGGCCGCACGCACGCCTTTTGGGCCCCGGGGCCTCAATTGGGGGAGAGGAGTGTTTTTTTTTTGTGTTTTTTATTTATTTTGGCGCAGTTTGGCGGTGGCTGGCGGTGGAAGCTGTGGCCATTCTATGGGCCCCAGTGCGGCCTTGGACCGGCGCCGGCAGGGCCCCGGAAATGGCGGCTGTGGGCCAATGGCGCCGGCCGGCCCAGATGAGCATTGCAGAATCATAAACATACACTTTGTGGATCTGTGTTCCCGACATGGCCCTGGATCAAAGGCACTGGTAGGTTTGTGGTGACGAGGCAGTGTGCGGGTGCGCGAGCTGGGGTGCGATAAGATAAGGCGCGGGTCCAGGCTGGAGGCTCAGATCGGGCGTGCGATATGGAGGCGAGGGGCAGACGGGAAAGGGCAGGTGCAGCGATGGAGGTGCGGAGCTGCTGGAAGCCAGATGTTTGGCGGGTCTTGTTTCCTTGTGCTGTCTGTCTATACTGTGTGTTTTATTGTGTGTTTTGTTGTGTGTTTTATTGTGTGTTTTGTTGTGTGTTTTTTATTATTTTTATTATTTTTGTTATGTTTGTTATTTTTGTTGTTTTTGTTGTGGTTATCTTTTTATCTTTTTTATCTTTTTTATTGCCGGTTGTATTGCCTGTTGCATTGCCTGGTGCTGGCCCGTGCTGCTTAATATTGCTCGCTGTTCCATGGCCAGCACGGTGCCTCGTTATCAGTGTAGTGTATGTGGGCCATCCAGGCCCTGGCATTTGCGCGGGGCCAGGGTTCCTGGTCGTGGAGGTCGCACGCTTTCTAAATATGAAACGTTGGCCCGCCCAACAAATCTGGCACCAAGCAGTGGAACACCGGGAAGCGGCGTGGGTTTTCTGCCACGTCGCACCCTGGATCCCGGGTTTTTGGCACCGTGTGCCGGATCTTGGCACCGTGGCCTGAATCTCGGGGCCGCGTCACGGTCCGATTGCTTTGACACGGCCTCATTTTTTAGGGCCTGATTTTTTAGAGCTTGGTCGGATAGGGTTTGCTTTTGTGGGGCTTGGCTTTTTAGGGCTGGGTTTTCCAGGGTATTGTTTTTAGACACGGCTTTTGGAACAATAAGCCTTTAGGGCTGCTTGCATCCACCGCGATCTGCCGCTGTCTAGCGAAGGTTTGCAGAGATCGGACCTGGGCGACAATAGAAACACGCATGTAGAAATGAATGACTGGGCTGTGCAGTCTCACAAATAAAGAGAAATCGGGGCAGTACGACTAAATGAGGGGCGCCTGGCAAAGCGTCTCTATTCTCATTTTCCATGACGGCCTTAATTGCCTTTATGGTCCATGTGCCCCACAGAGCACATGTCTGAATGACTGCGACTTCAACAATGTCGTTCGGCGCCATCACAGACCACCCAAGAATCCCAGAATCCACGGTATAAAGGCTTTTGCTCTGGGTTCTTACGATTGAGGTTTCTATGCACGGAACAAAAGCACAGCTTCTCTCGGTATGCTCGCTTTTCTACTGTTCCCACGAGAACTTCATCAGAGATGTCCTACCTTTGATAAGGCACCAATCTGATCTTCTCGCGCCTGATGCAGGAAGCGAAGGAATTACTTCACAACTGTGTTACAGACTATGCCAGTCTGTTCCCTTCGAGCTAGATACTGGACGCGAAAGAAGAACTATACAACTCTATTGTTTCTACAGAGCATGCATTTTGGCTGCACAAGCTCAACTTGACGATAACAGAGTGATCATGCGTTGTTTCTTTTCTAGCCTTCAAAGAAGCACGAAACTCATGGCGACGGAGTCTTCATCGTCCTGCTCCCTCGACCATTTTCCTGCTATACTCAATAATCTCTTCCGAAGAACAAACCTTACATTTCATAGTCCTTAAGGAACTTCCCGAACGCACGCATCTGTTCGTGGACCTTTCTTATTGGCAGGAAAAATCCTGCTTTGTTACGACAGGTAACATCGTCCTCAATCGAACAATTCCGAGTCTCGACAATTCCAATTATCCACGACAGCAAAAAAGGATGCGCAAGCCCGGAATCGAACCGGGGGCCCAACGATGGCAACGTTGGATTTTACCACTAAACCACTTGCGCTTCTGTGATGTTTCTGGGTGTCGGGATGTTTATATCATCATTAAGAAAGGGAGACAGGCGTGGTTTGTGCCTTTGCAAACTATGAATACAATTTTTATGATAGCAAAATGATTCTGATTCAAATCTCCAACCATTGGAAACTGCGACATGCAAAATCTCCCCAAATCTGCCCTTCGACAAAGGTTTGAAGCGGCTTCTGCAAGGTTGGCATCAGCAAGATCCTAAAACAATATTAACGGCAGTGTTTATTTGTTGACATTGGAATATCTGTCATGGGGCTGCCCGAAGTTGGTGCTGGCGTCCGGTGGTAAGAAGTAGATTCACAACCAAAGCAAGAGATGTATTCACCAAGAAAAAGAACAACATGCCGCTGCTTTTTGTCATATGAAAGATCTGGCAGAAAGTCAAGCATATCATCTTCAGATGCATGCGGCAATAAGATATACGTCAAACAAAACCACATCAGGCTTGAGACAGTTTCTATCTGGATATCCCAGAGTTATTGGAAAGCTTGGTTTCTACACCCAGGCCCGTTTTCCTTAAACACTAAGTAAAGGTCATTCTGGATCTTCGCCAACAGATCTTTCAAAAGCAAAAAAAAAACAGAGCCGACATGTCTCTTTGTCAATTTGCATTCATGACATCGTTTGAAGAAGCAACACAGCTATGCTTGAATCTATACACCCGGTTGAGGGTTAAAAGAGAGTAGGATGACTTTTCGGGTCTATGCCATGGATTTGCATGTGGCACATTCACAGACATCAGATACTACGAATTATCTGCAAGAAAAAACAATAAGAATAAGAAGCCGAAGTAGACTGGAATGAGAAAAAATGTGGATCATATAAATAGTCCCGTAAGGCAACCGAGACTCTCAAGGAGCACGACAGACAGGGTGGAGATGATCTCAAGTGATATTCCAACAGCGAAAGTGTTCTCTCAGGCCATTTTAAACTGGAAGTAAACGAATACGATCAGGGCAGGTGAGAAGGCATACGCGTTGGGAACTCTACATGTAGGGTACTAAATGCAAATGTATTTATTTGTGGAAGGAAAAGACAGTGAAAAGTGGACGAGTTTTTCTTTATATAGCGATGCCGGCGTGCCGCGCACGACTACCCAACTTCTAGGGCTCCGCGAAAGTTGAGCAAATGCAAGGGCTTATCTATTGGATTTTTGAGATCGCTGATCATGGGAGCCACTTCGATATCGGAGGATGTATTTACTTTGGAAAGGAGGAGAGAAATTGCATTTTTTTCGATTCATGGCACCTTTGAAGTTCGAAATTGTGATTTGTTTTCAAAAAAAAAGAATTATTGTTGAGGCGCAGAGTTTTGTAGATAAACCCCAAGGTGTTCACGAAATGTGAAATTCCATAGGAACATGGAAAAAGAAAGCTGACTTTGCCCTCCAAATCTCCTGAGGATTTCATAATTGAGCTTTTGCCGCTTTAATCGCCGTTACTTAGGCAATACCTGTTGGTTTAATTTTCTCCGCTTATTGATATGCTCAGTGGGTAGTCTTACGAAGATGAGGAAGATTGGGGGTGATTCTAAAACTTATTCTAGAGTCATTTGATATTTAGACGGGAGTCAAGACCAACCCAAAAAGTTTGAGAGTAAATACCGACCATCCATGCATGCCTTGAGAAATAACTTAAGGTGCAATGTGCGTTCAAAAATCCAATGTCATATTACGTATCGCAATTAGCTGCGTTCTTTATCGATGCGAAAACCAAGAGATCCATTGTTGAAACTTTTTTTATGTTTTTGTTGAAATATAATGTTCAGTTATGATTTCCTTAAAAGGGTGTATTTTATATTCTAAATGATTCTTCCGCAGGCTTACCTACGGAACCTTGTAACGACTTTTACTTGTGTATGATTAGACAATATTTTATGAAGGTGAGATTGCTGGAATTAAGCATCAATATCTGTGCCCTCATCTGGGCAAGACCATGGTATATATATGTTCATGGATTGTCGGTACCATACTAATCGTATTCTTTACTTCATTTCAAGAACCATTCATACAAAATGATAGATCTCTATAACTTGACGTCATTTTTTCATACATTTGTAAGTGGACTGCTGATGGCTAAGGTATCACAAAGATGTTTCTCCTGAAGTAAGTCATGGAAGCTGGTGTAATACAAAGAGTGTAAATTGTTTTTTTTTTCGACATACAATGTCTCCATATAATTTGCCTTGCTTGCTCAATGGACCTTATAGTCTTGGCAGGAAAAGAATTGTGGGTGCCTTTGCCGAGGAACTATGCGAATTGTTAGAATGATCCTCTTGAATATGCGATTAAGCTTTGCAGCCAAAAATATTTCAAGGCAGTATTGGTTAAACCGAGGACATTCCTTTTCGCGTCAGTAGAGCCGAAGTTTGGAATAAGGTCAAGTAGAATTCAGGCCACAGGCCCGCCGAAGGGGGTCCTAATCAAGGTATTCAGGAATTGATGCCATCAAAGTTCCACTATATACACGCTTTCCGTGAAAAAGGGTTTTTTGATCGGGCCGAGAACTTTCGCACCCAAAATTAGGTCCTTCCTCATTTGGACCTAAAGTGATTGTTTTTGAAGGAGCTGAAAAATTGGGGGTTGCCATCCTCGAAATGAGCTTACAAAGTTTCCCCAGTGATTCTCATAGCTTTACAGAGCCAAAAAGTCTATGAAAAGAGGCTTTTGATATAGGGGAACGAGGTATCAGCTAGATAAACGAGGTCTGCTTACAGATACGCGGCACCCACCAAAAAACGGCCCTAGCATTTGAAACAAACACCGTCACCCACCGTTTCAGACCTACGCCAGCGGCTTGCTCAACTATATAGATTAAAAGACACACACTAAATCAACCTGTATTCCAGCGAAGTTAGCTCACCCCAGACTTCCTATGAATGATGCTTCTATTGATCGGTCGGCTGTTGATCGTGTACCTACAGTAGACACCGTCGCTTTTCGGGTCCCTCGATAAAACCATACTGAAACGCACCTGGGAGTATTCTTCTGAAAAAAGACCTGTAACCCCAGAAAACAAGCACCTGAGTCAGAGAAGCTTGCGCGGGCTTCGGTCAATTAGTTGAGGTGGAACCCAAAATTAGCTGAGGCGCGCTTCGACCCGAGTACGATATCAGATTGCAGGACTCTTTACAACAAGCTCCTTGCCAAAACGCAACATGCCACTTCTACCAGCAACTCATGCGTCTGCACAGGAATCAACCCATGTGTCTGCACAGGAACCAACAAACATTATGGCCATATCCGAAAACGCCCACCGCCACACGGCACCACCAATACACACCGCCCGGGCCCAGACCTGCACACAAGCGCCGCCCGCTTCCCAACATTTGCACCCAAATTCCAACCTTTCCGCCCCGGCGCCCCACTGCATGCAGGACAGGGCCTTGTAGCTGCCGTGTCGCGACCCAAATATATGGAAGGCATCTTGCGCACTATACTACTCCCTTTTTCTAGTCAAGCAGTACTGAACACTCACTCCCAGTTCTTTTCTTCATCTGTACTGGCGTTATTCCGAAAGACATTGTCGCGAATAACCCTGCAGTGCCCAAAAAGGAAAAAAAAAGAACTGTCCGTTTAGATATCCGCTCCTCCTAGAAACACTTAGCCGCCATGAGACCCGAGATTGAACAGGAGCTTTCTCACACCTTGTTGACGGAGTTGTTGGCGTACCAATTCGCCTCGCCCGTCAGATGGATCGAGACCCAGGACGTGTTTTTGAAAGACCACAACACCGAGCGTGTGGTGGAGATTGGCCCCTCGCCCACTTTGGCGGGTATGGCGCTGAGAACCATCAAGGCCAAGTACGAGTCCTACGACGCCGCCTTGTCTTTGCAGCGCCAGGTTTTGTGCTACGCCAAGGATGCCAAGGAAATCTACTATACACCGGAGCCCGCCGAGTTGGAGGCTGCCGCTGCCGCCAAGGAGGCGCCAGCCGCCGCTGCTCCTGCCGCTGCTCCCACCGCCGCTGCTCCGGCCGCTGCACCAGCTGCCGCCCCAGCCGCTCCCGCAGCACCAGCTGCGGCCGCCGCCGCTGTCTCCGACGAGCCCGTGAAGGCCTCGTTGCTTCTCCACGTGTTGGTGGCACAGAAGTTGAAGAAATCGTTGGAGGCCGTCCCCATGACCAAGGCTATCAAGGACTTGGTCAACGGTAAGTCCACTGTGCAGAACGAGATCTTGGGTGACTTGGGCAAGGAGTTCGGCTCGACGCCAGACAAGCCCGAGGACACGCCCTTGGAGGAGTTGGCCGAGTCGTTCCAGGACTCTTTCAACGGGCAGTTGGGCAAGACCTCCACGTCTTTGGTGGGCCGCTTGATGTCCTCCAAGATGCCTGGTGGCTTCTCCATCACCGTGGCCAGAAAGTACTTGGAGTCCAAGTTCGGCTTGGGCCCCGGTAGACAGGACTCGGTCTTGCTCATGGCCTTGGTCAACGAGCCAGCCTCCAGATTGGGCTCCGAAGGGGAGGCCAAGGAGTTCTTGGACACCATCGCGCAGAAATACGCGGCCTCGGCCGGCATCTCGTTGGCCTCGGCGTCCGCCGGCGCGGGCGGTGCTGCCGCCGGTGGCGCCGTCATTGACAGCGCTGCCTTGGATGCGTTGACCGCTGAGAACAAGAACTTGGCCAAGCAGCAGCTCGAGACATTGGCCCGCTACTTGCAGGTCGACTTGAACAAGGGCGCCAGGTCCTTCATCAAGGAGAAGGAGGCCTCGGCTGTCTTGCAGAAGGAGCTTGACTTGTGGGAGGCCGAGCACGGCGAGTTCTACGCCAAGGGCATCAAGCCTATCTTTTCCACGTTGAAGTCCAGACAGTACGACTCGTACTGGAACTGGGCCAGACAAGACGTTTTGTCTATGTACTTCGACATCATCTTCGGCAAGTTGGACTCCATCGACCGCGAGACCATCAACCAGTGTATTCAGATCATGAACAGAGCTTCGCCTTCTTTGATCAAGTTCATGCAGTACCACATTGACCACACTCCGGGCTACAAGGGCGAGACCTACCAGTTAGCTCAGAAGTTGGGCCAGCAGTTGATCGACAACTGTAAGCAGGTGTTGGACGTGGACCCTGTCTACAAAGATGTGTCGAGAATCACGGGCCCAAAGACCACTGTTGACGCCAAGGGCAAGATTGTCTACGAGGAAGCCAACAAGGAGTCTGTCAGAAAGTTTGAGCAATATGTCTACGAAATGGCTCAGGGAGGCCCAATGACCAAGCAGGTCCAGCCAACAATCCAGGAGGACTTGGCTAGAGTTTACAAGGCCATTTCGAAGCAGTCCTCTGTGTCAAAGAACACCAAGCTCGAGCTTGACCAGTTGTACAGCTCATTGGTCAACTTCATGGAGAACAACAAGGAGATTGTCACCGACCAGGCCACTAAGGATGCTTTGCAAGTCGCTGCAGGCTCCAGCACACCAAGCGAGGACGACGAAACCACCACTTCCGACGACGAGATTGCTTCTTTGCCCGACAAGACTTCGATCTTGCAGCCCGTCTCTTCCACGATTCCTCCGCAGACTATTCCATTCTTGAACCTTCAAAGAAAAACTCGCGATGGATGGGAATACGACCAGAAGTTGTCTTCTCTTTACTTGGACGGCTTGGAGAGCGGTGCCGTCAATGGTTTGACTTTCAAGGACAAGCACGTGTTGCTTACCGGTGCCGGTGCTGGCTCCATTGGCGCTGAAATTTTGCAAGGTTTGATCTCTGGTGGTGCCAAGGTCATCGTCACCACCTCTCGTTTCTCAAAGAAGGTTACCGAGTACTACCAGTCTATGTACTCCAGATACGGTGCTACTGGTTCCACTTTGATTGTTGTGCCTTTCAACCAGGGTTCCAAACAAGACGTCGAGGCTTTGATTGACTACATCTATGACGCAAAGGACGGCTTGGGTTGGGATTTGGATGCCATCATTCCTTTTGCTGCCATTCCAGAGAATGGTAACGGGTTGGACAACATCGACTCCAAGTCTGAATTGGCTCACAGAATCATGTTGACCAACTTGTTGAGATTGTTGGGTGCTGTCAAGGCCAAGAAGGTGACTGACACCAGACCTGCCCAAGTAATCTTGCCACTCTCTCCTAATCATGGTACTTTCGGTTTCGATGGTTTGTACTCCGAGTCCAAGATCTCTTTGGAGACTTTGTTTAACAGATGGTACTCTGAGGACTGGGGAACCAAGTTGACCGTTTGCGGTGCCATCATTGGTTGGACTAGAGGTACCGGTTTGATGAGCGGTAACAACATCATCGCTGAAGGTATCGAGAAGGTCGGTGTTAGAACCTTTTCGCAAAAGGAAATGGCTTTCAATATCTTGGGTTTGTTGACACCTGCCATTGTCAACTTGTGTCAAGAGGAGCCTGTTATGGCTGACTTGAACGGTGGTTTGCAATTCATTGAGAACTTGAAGGAGTTCACAACCAAATTGAGAACTGACTTGGTCGAGAGCTCCGACATTAGAAGAGCCGTTTCCATTGAGTCGAGCATTGAGCAGAAGGTTGTCAACGGTGAGGGTGTCGACGCCAATTACTCTCAAGCCACCGTCCAGCCAAGAGCTAACATGACCTTTGCTTTCCCAGGTATGAAGTCTTACGAGGAAATCAAGCTGATCTCTCCAGACTTGGAGGGTATGTTGGACTTGAGCTCTGTGATTGTTGTCACCGGTTTCGCCGAGGTCGGTCCATGGGGTAACGCCAGAACCAGATGGGAGATGGAAGCAACTGGTGAATTCTCCTTGGAGGGTTGTATCGAAATGGCTTGGATCATGGGTTTGATCAAGTATTTCAATGGTAAGATCAAGGGAAAGACCTACGTTGGATGGGTCGACGCCAAGACTCAACAACCTGTTGAGGACAAGGATATCAAGGCCAAATACGAGGAGGAGATCTTGGAGCACGCTGGTATCCGTCTTATCGAGCCAGAGTTGTTTGATGGTTACGACCCTAACAAGAAGCAAATGATTCAAGAAGTTGTTATCCAACACGACTTGGAGCCATTTGAGGCTTCGAAGGAAACTGCCGAGCAATACAAGCACCAACACGGCGACAAGGTCGAGATCTTTGAAATCGACGAATCTGGTGAGTACACCGTTAAGGTGTTGAAGGGTGCTACTTTGCTTATTCCTAAGGCTTTGAGATTCGACAGATTGGTAGCTGGTCAAATTCCTACCGGTTGGAATGCCAAGACTTACGGTATCCCAGAGGACACCATTTCTCAAGTTGATCCAATCACTTTGTTTGTTTTGGTGTCTACTGTGGAGGCATTGTTGTCTGCTGGTATCACCGACCCTTACGAGTTTTACAAGTACGTTCATGTGTCTGAAGTTGGAAACTGTTCTGGTTCCGGTATGGGTGGTGTTTCTGCGTTGAGAGGCATGTTCAAAGACAGGTACTCTGACAAACCAGTGCAGAACGATATTTTGCAGGAGTCTTTCATCAACACCATGTCTGCTTGGGTGAACATGTTGTTGTTGTCCTCTTCTGGTCCAATCAAGACTCCAGTCGGTGCTTGTGCAACCGCTGTGGAGTCTGTGGACACTGGTATTGAGACCATCCTTCAAAACAAGGCCAAGATTTGTATTGTTGGTGGTTACGATGATTTCCAGGAGGAAGGATCTTATGAGTTCGCAAACATGAACGCTACCTCTAATGCTCTTGATGAATTTGCCCATGGCAGAACTCCATCTGAGATGTCCAGACCAGCTACCACCACCAGAAATGGTTTCATGGAGGCTCAAGGTTCTGGTATTCAGCTCATCATGACTGCTGACTTGGCTATTAAGATGGGTGTTCCTATCTACGCCGTGTTGGCCATGACCGCGACTGCCACCGACAAGATTGGTAGATCTGTCCCAGCTCCAGGTAAGGGTATCTTGACCACTGCCCGTGAGCACCACGGTGACTTGAAGTACCCATCTTCCATGTTGAACATCAAGTACAGAGCAAGACAATTGAAGAAGAGGTTGGAGCAGATTGCCAACTGGGAGGAGTCCGAAATCGACTACTTGTCTGAGGAGGCTGAACTTGCCAAGGAGGAGTATGGTTCGGAGTTTTCCATTGGTGACTTCTTGCGCGAAAGAACGGAGGAAATCAGCAGAGAGGCTAGCAAACAAGTTGCTGACGCCAAGAAGCAATGGGGTAACAATTTCTACAAGAGTGACCCTAGAATTGCGCCATTGAGAGGAGCCTTGGCTACGTACGGCTTGACTATTGATGACTTGGGAGTCGCCTCTTTCCACGGTACTTCGACTAAGGCCAACGACAAGAACGAGTCTGCTACTATCAACGCTATGATGAAACACTTGGGTAGATCTGAGGGTAACCCAGTCTTTGGTGTCTTCCAGAAGTACTTGACAGGACATCCAAAGGGTGCGGCTGGTGCCTGGATGTTGAACGGAGCGATCCAAATTTTGAACAGTGGTATTGTTCCTGGAAACAGAAATGCCGACAATGTCGACAAGGTCATGGAGGAGTTCGAGCACGTTTTGTACCCATCGAGATCCATCCAAACGGATGGTATCAAGGCTGTTTCCGTTACGTCTTTCGGTTTCGGTCAAAAGGGTGCCCAAGCCGTTGCGGTTCACTCCGACTACTTGTTTGCTTGTTTGGACAAGAACACTTACGAGGACTACGCTGCTAGAGTGACATCGAGAAACAAGAGGGCGTACAGATACATGCACAACGCCATCACCAGAAACTCGATGTTCGTGGCCAAGGACAAGCCTCCTTACGCTGATGAGTTGGAGCAGCCTGTTTACTTGGACCCATTGGCGCGCGTGGAAGAGAGCAAGACTGGTTTGGTCTTCAGCAAGAAGGGTGTTCAGTCTGACAAGAGTTACGTGTCGTCCGTTGCTGACGCTACTTCCAAGGCTTTGTCTGGCTTGAACAAGAGCTCCAAGGGTGTTGGCGTGGATGTCGAAGTCATCTCCGCATTGAACTTGGAGAACGAGACTTTCATCGAGAGAAATTTCACTGCTAGCGAGGTCGAGTACGCGTCCAAGTCCGCGTACCCACCTGCATCGTTCACTGGTACTTGGTCCGCCAAGGAGGCCGTGTTTAAGGCCTTGGGTGTCAAGTCCAAGGGTGCCGGCGCTGCATTGAAGGAGATTGAAATTGTGCGTGATGCCAACGGAGCCCCAACCGTTGTGTTGAGCGGGTCCGCCGCGGAAGCTGCTTCCAAGGCCGGTGTCAAGAAGGTCAATGTCTCCATCTCGCACGACGACTTCCAGGCCACCGCAGTTGCTTTGAGTGAGTTCTAATAAGTATTTAGCTTTTGATTTTTTTTTGATTTATATACTAGTAATCAATCCGGTTTATAAGTCGATGTTAACCCCAGCAAGAGCGCTCACGTGACTGGACGTCGACAAAGATTGCATATAAGTTTAGATGATTAGACTGAGGCAGACTCTAGGTGTGTTCCCAGTATGTCCGAGAAAGGAATCCGTGCTTGAAAGCGACACAAAGTTGATGCCTACAAAAAACAAAAAAAAAAGAAACAGAACATTTTTAGGGGCTGTTTACTTTCCTGGCTCAGTGGCCTAATCTGGACCTCAGAAACAAGCGCGAATGGAGATAAGAAGGCAAGGCTTATTTCGAATACCAGACAAACTCACCCGACATATCACACATAACATTACTGGAAAATACAGGGAACCAAATGCAAGGATCTTAGCAAGCATCCGGCCAACACGTTCGTATGCGCTTATGGCGACACAAGTAAAAGAATATGGGTGCTGGTCGAAACGCCACAGCCCAGGGCACGTGACCCGCAGTCACGTGCAAGGCTCAATATCCCGGCAACGGTGTGGGCTCTGAGACGAGGACCCACGAAAGAAGGCAAACGACTCGCCAAACAATCCGCAGCACCCCGCGATTGCATCACTTCAGGCAAAAAATTGTCTTCTGAAACACACAGCATAGGAGTGCGAGCCCGAAACAAGCCAGGTCCCCTTTTCCCCGAGAAAATCCGACCTATTTTGAGTGACTTTTACCCATCATGAGTGAGACGCGAGTCAGCGAGGATAAACCCCTGCCGACACGATGTTCTGAAGAGCTGGCTGGCGTCAATGGCAATGTTCCCGAAGAAGCAGAAGGCGCCGGGAGCCGTGGCAGCGAAAATCCCGAGAAAAAAGCCGCCACGGGCGAGGAATTAGCCGCTGTCTCTATCCTGGCTGAGGCGGCTACGGAAACGGCCGATGCAGAGCTGCCCCCTGCCTCCAGTGGGCAGAAAACATCCGAGGAGGCTGTGGGCGATGCTTCCGGCGAGCCCGGCGCCCCTAGAGGTGGAGTGCCTGCCGAAAAAGAGCACGAAAGAGCCACTGAAAACGGCGAGACCGGCGAAAATAAAGTCGAGCAGAACGGCGAGACCACAGCCGAGGATAGCAGCGCACATGCCGCAGCTTTGGCCCCCAAAATCAAGGATACAAAAACGGACGCAGATGCTCTGGCGCCAGAGTCGAAGGCTCTGATAGACGGCGGCAAGCACGCGGACACTGCAGGACCAAGTACGCAGCCCGCCGAGGAGAACGGCGGCCACGTGTCTGCAGCCACCGATGGCGCGAAACGCGAGGTGGCGGAGGCGCCGGCGGAAAAGCCGGCCGTGCCAACAAAAGACCGCGGGTTCCCGGACGAGGCCGGGATGTTGAGAGCACCGCAGCTGCAGGGACGCGTGCTGTCGCTGTCGGCAGCGTCCGCGCCGAGCTCGCGCCGGGCCTCGAGCTCCATGGCGCCCGCGCCCGGCCGGCCGAGCCACGCCAAGGTGGACAACACGGCGATCTTCATGAAGACGTTCGAGGCCATCTTGCAGAGCAAAGAGGCGCACAAAAACGCCCTGTTGAAGACGGCTACGCAGAAGGCCATCGACTCGCTCAACAACTCCGCGTCCCGCGACCCGCACGTGCTTTTCGAGGCGTTGAAGTTGGCGTGCGAGACGCCGAACACGGAGTTGAAATGCAAGGCCGTGGACCTCTTTGCCAAGTTGTTCGACTATGCGCTGTTCGACGACGAGGCGGACCGCACGCGCTTGACGGACGCGTCGGTGGACGTGATCTCGGCGTGCTTCGAGGGTGAGGGCACGGACCCGGACTTGGAGTTGCAGGTGGTGCGGGCCCTCATCCACAGCATCATCCTCATGCCCACGCACGGCGCGTCGCTCTTGAAGGCCGTGCGCCAGATCTACAACGTGTTCATCTTCTCGTTGACCCCCCGCAACCAGGCCGTGGCACAGGGCACGTTGACGCAGGTGATCGCCACGATCTTCCAGCGCGTGGGCGAGGCCGTCTCCAGCGCCAAGTCCCGCGCGTCTCGCCTGAGCTCGTACGTGAATATCCACGTGGGCGCCGTGGCGGAGCCGGCGGAGCACGCGGAGAACGGCGCGGGCAAAATGACGCTTGAGCAGTTGCAGAACCTCTCCGGCGACTCGGCCGACCTGGCGCGGGTCAGCGAGGCCAACCGCGCGTCGGAAAAGGACGAGGACCTAGTGGTGAAGGACGCGTTCTTGATTTTCCGCGCCATGTGCAAGCTCTCCGTGAAAGACTTGGAGGCTGACAGCGTGGACATGAGGTCGCACTCCGTGCGCTCGAAGCTCCTTTCGTTGCACATCATCCACACCATCTTGCGCAACAACATCGACATTTTCTTGAGCAAGGACGTGGTGATCCTCTCCTCGAGCACGGACGAGCAGACGCGCTTGATCGACGCCGTGAGAAGCTACTTGTGCCAGGCCCTCATACGGAACGCGGCCTCGCCGTTGGCCCCGGTCTTCGAGTTGACCCTCGAGACCTTCTGGCTCTTGATCGCCAACTTGCGGTCCGACTTCAAAATGGAGATTCCTGTCTTGTGGGAGCAGATATACTTCCCGGTGTCGGAGATGAAAACCTCCACGCCGCACCAGAAAAGGTACTTGCTCTCAGTCATCGAGCGTCTCTGTAACGACTCCAGATGCATCATCGAGTTCTACTTGAACTACGACTGCGACAGCTCCCAGCCAAACATCTGCGAGATCATCATTGATTACTTGACGAAGCTCGCCTTGTCGCGTGTCGAGGTGTCCTTGGCCCAGAAAGACGCCTTTGAGGAGAACAAGAGAGCAGGCATTGCGCTCTACGAAGTCAGCAAAATCGACAACTTGACCACGGCCACCATGTCTTCAAAGCCACCGGAACCCGACGTCTACAACTTGTTCCCTTTGGAGTACTCCATGAAAATAACCTCCTTGAGTTGCTCGGTGGCTTTCTTGAGATCGCTCCATTCGTGGGCCCAAAAAGGATTCGTGTCCCCGCAAAAATTGGCAAACGCATTCCCCAAGTTGACTCTCGAGGGTTCTCCTATTTCGTCCCACAGCAATTCCCGCAACCCTTCTTTCATCGGAAATCAGCAGCCTGCCGCCGAAAGCGAGAGAGACGATCCAGAGCAGTTCGAGACTCAGAAACAGAGAAAAAGAGCTTTGGTCGAAGGATGCAGACAGTTTAGTCAAAAGCCAAAAAAGGGTGTTGCCTACTTCATCGAAAACGGCTTCATCAAATCAGACTCGCCGGAAGATATTGCGTTGTTTTTGTTGAACACCGAGTCTTTGGATAAAGCCGCATTGGGGGATTACTTGGGTGACGGAAGTGATAAGAACGTTGCGATCATGCATGCTTTTGTCGACCAAATGAACTTCCAAGACAACTCCTTTGTTGATTCTTTGAGAACATTCTTGCAGCTGTTCAGACTACCAGGAGAGGGTCAGAAGATCGATAGATTCATGTTGAAATTTGCAGAGAGGTATGTGCTAGGAAACCCACGAGTTTTTTCCAATGCCGACGCCGCATATGTCTTGGCTTATTCAACTGTCATGCTTAACACAGATCAACATTCAAAGCAAGTGAAAAACAGAATGACAGTTGAAAATTTCATCATGAACAATTCTGGAATCGACGATGGCAAAGATCTCCCAAGACAATTTCTTGAACAAGTTTTTTCGGAAATTCAGGGTAACGAAATCAAGTTACAGTCAGAGCATCACGCTGCTTTGCTAGCCGGCGACCAAACTTTGGCTGCGACGCAACAATCTGGCTTTTTCGGATCCAGAGACTTGAATCGCGAGGCTTACATTCACGCCTCAAAGGAAATGTCCACAAAGACCGAAAAGCTATTCAAAACTTTGGGCAAGAAATCGCGATCAGAAGATTCCCCAAACCAGGTTTATTATGCAGCTTCCAATGTGCAGCACGTCAGATCGATCTTTGACACCACTTGGATGTCTATTTTGGCCGGCTTGACTGGGCCTTTCAAAGAGTATGACGAACCAAGTGTCATCAAGATCTGTTTAGAGGGTATCAAGCTTTCAATCAAAATTTCTTGTTTGTTCGATTTGGAATACGCCAAACAGTCTTTCATTGGTGCTTTGGTCCAATTCCAAAATCTTAACAACATTGAAGATATCAGATCGAAAAATGTGGATGCAATGCACGTCATGTTGGAAATCGCAGTCAGCGAGGGAAACTATCTTCATAAGTCATGGACAGCCGTTTTGACTTCGATTTCGCAACTTGAGAGGCTCCAATTGATTGCGAAGGGGATTGATAGAGATTCGATACCTGATGTAAGTTCCATTAAACTCGTCAACAGAAATTCTATTGAAAGCACGTCTTCCCAGCCATCTGGATTTTTCAGCCTGTTCACTAGGGAGACTTCGGCATCCCAGTCCGCCTCCATTAAATATCACAACCAACAGCTCTCGGCCGAATCTGCCCAGTTACTCTTCAGAACAGAATTGAGCGTTGCCATCGACAAGGTATTCACGAACAGCTCTGAATTATCTGGTGAAGCCATTAAAGATTTTGTGGAAGCTTTGAGTCAGGTTGCCACCGAGGAGATCGACTCATCCGGACAATCAAGCAACCCCAGAATGTTTTCTTTGCAAAAGGTTGTTGATATTTGCTACTACAATATGAGTAGAATTCGTTTGGAATGGTCGCAATTGTGGGTCATCTTGGGTGATGTATTCAACAGAGTTGGATGTAATCCCAATTTGGCTGTTGATTTTTTTGCTTTGGATTCATTGAGACAGCTTTCCATGCGCTTCATGGACATTGAGGAACTAGCACAGTTTAAGTTTCAGAAAGAATTTTTGAAACCGTTTCAGTATATCATACTGCACAATAATTCATTTGAAGTGAAAGACATGGTCTTGGAGTGCGTGAACAATATGGTTTTGGCAAAGGCAAATAAAATAAAATCTGGTTGGAAGACAATCTTTGAAGTTTTGACTGTGGCTGCGAAAGATAAGAAGGATGCTCTCGTTACAAAAGCCTATAAATTGGCGTTTACAATCAACAAGGACTTCAGCGACGAAGTGATCAAACAAGATTCGTTTGCAGATTTGGTTACATGCTTCACAGAATTTGCGAAGAATGAGCAATTGCAAAAGGTTGGCCTATTATCTTTGGAGGTACTATCGAGATTAATCGTACGGGTGGCGAAAACTTCAATCGAGCTTAGCAGCAAAGATACTATTTCAGCTACAAGGGATTTTGCAAGTGAGAAATACGAGAATCTCATGAAGTTGTGGTTCCCTCTATTGTATGGTTTCTACGACATCATCATGAGCGGCGAAGAACTTGAAGTGCGTTCTCGTACCTTGACTCACTTCTTTGACGTTCTTCTTAAATACGGAGACCATTTCGAGACCGATTTCTGGGACTTGATTTATCAAAAGCTCTTGGCCCCCATTTTTGGCGTTATTGCCTGCCCCTGGGGTTTGAGATATGATGATGATGGTGCTTCAGCACAGTATGGGGTGAATATGGCCGACAATGACAAGATGTCATTCTGGGTTTCCACAACTTTCATTCAAGCCTTGAATGGCATGGTCTCTCTCTTCTCGCACTATTTTGATGCTCTTACTCCCAGATTCGACGACTTGCTTAACTTGTTGGTTAGTTGCATTTGTCAAGAAAACGACACAATTGCTAGAACAGGAAAATCGTGCTTTGAAGAGTTCTTGGTACAGAATTGCGACAAGTTCCTGAAAGGACAATGGGATGCCATTCTCAAAACCTTTTCTCTGTTGTTTGATCTCACGACAGCCAAAGAGTTATTTACTTTGGATCCATTGAGAGAAGATGAAGAAAACTCTGACGTGAATTCTTTGGATATCAATGACTCGGAAGATATGCACACGAAAGACACAGAGGAAGTTTCGGGAGATAAGTCTTCCATTGTCATCAAGTGCGTGCTACAATTATTGATGATAGAACTAGTTCTGGAGCTTGCAGTGAAGGACGAGTTTTACGAGGCCGTTCCGGACGAACATCTCACGGAAATCTGTCAGCTTCTTTACAAGAGTTTCGACTTTGCCAAACGTTTCAATGACGACTACGATTTAAGAGTCCGTTTGTGGAATGCAGGGGTGATCGAGAGGCTTCCAAACTTGTTGAAACAAGAAAGCATGTCTGCGGCCGTCTTCTTGAATGTAATGTTCAGACTTTACTGTGACGACAAAAAAGCCACGAGTCAGGAAAGCAAAGAGACCATCGTGACGTCGGTAGTGCCTTTGTCTTACTCTATTGTGGAACGATTCTGTGAGCTCGACGAAAGCAATCAACTGAAGAGCATTGCTACGTGGAGACCAGTCATCACGGAGATTTTCGAAGGCTTCGTGGAAATGGACGATGATGATTTCGCCAACCACTCTCCTGACTTGTTTAAACTTACAATCACCCTATTTGGGCGGGCTACGGGTGGTGATTTGCGGAGAGCCCTTCAGATGTTCTTGGCCCGGGTGGGGAGCGTTTTTGTGAAGAAACCACAGTCGGTGTAGAAGACGTGGAACACAGTAATGCAAATTGCGCAACGAGGGCTCATGGCCCATGTGAGAGCCGCACCTCGACGCTTGCTGCACGTGAGCAACCATGAGCGGCGCGAGCAACGAATAATGGAGGCCAACAGATTTTGAAGGAGATACCCAGGGGCTAAAAAATGTTGACTTCATCACCATGCCGGAAAGACGTGTAATTATAAGTACATATTGTGATTTTTGTGAAGTTTGAGGTATCGTTCCCCTTTGTACGAACCAGTATGTAAAACGAAGACCCCTCGTAGCTTATAATCGTGTGCCTCGACCGACAAGAAGGTTCGCCCCAAGCGCGCATCCGTGCACCAGGGTATGTCACACCAGAGTCGCCGGTGAGGAAACGGTCAGACTACGCAAAAAAAGTTGAAAAATTTTCTGGACGTCTTAACCTACTTTTTCCTTCCAGACCATCCCGATCAGATAAAATGTCTTTCGAAAACAAGGTATGTGCTCTTATGCCTTGATAATTGGAAGCTGTGTTCATGCAATGGAATGATAATTGGGTGCCATTCAGCGAAGAAATTTTAAGTTCGTCTTTCCAGCCGGCACTTGCGGGGATGAATGGAAGAACGAGGAATACAAAAACGCCCGTTGAACACAATATAGTATTGCCCAGTCAGCAATTACAGCATAATATGGCCGATTGCATCTCCACATACATATCAAGTGTCTGGATTATTTTTCGGCATTGTTTCGTTCACTGCTGACACAGCAACCGAAAATGTCGGCGTTCTCCAAATCTTACTTTGCATTCAAAAACCAAACCTTCCGTAGACCTTGAGGATACAAGCTTGACGAGCAATGCTATCAACCACAAAACTCTGCCATGCCCTGACTCATGACTCCCGCCCGTTTCCTTAGGCAAATGATCTTTGGATCCCGTCTGTGCAGACTGTATACTAACAATGTTCAGAACTTATACGCTTTGTTGGGTAACGATGTCGAAGACGACACCGTCCCTGCGCCAATGCCAAAGGAGATTACCAAGGCCACCACTTCTTCCAAGAAGGCCGACGTCCCACCACCTTCAGCTGACCCAGCCAAGGCCAGAAAGAACAAGAAGGCCCCAACCGGAAACGATGCTGCCTTGAAGAACAAGACCAACAACAAGAGCACCCCAGGTCCATCTGCCACGCCAGCCAAGCACTCCAAGAAGCCATTTGACCGTCACTCCAGAACCGGCAAGACCGACTCCAAGAAGCAAGTCAAGCAAGCTTGGGGTGATGACAAGAAGGAGTTGGAGGATGAGAGCCGCGCTGAGGCCGATGCTGCTGCCGAGCTCGCCGCCGAGGCCGAGGAGAACCCATCTGGCCCAGCCGCCAAGTCCTTGCAGGACTACTTGGCCGAGTTGCGCGAGAAGGAGGCTGCTTTGGGCGGTGCCAGAGTCGTCAGAAAGGCCAACGAGGGTGCCGAGGCCAAGTGGACTGCTGCTGAGAAGATCGAGAAGGAGCAAGCTAGCTACGTCGAGCCATCTGCTACCAAGAAGTCCAAGCAAAAGTCGCAAAAGGAGAAGAAGTTCTTGGACTTCAACGCCGTTTTCGCCGACGAGACTCCTAAGTTCAGCAACGACAGAAAGCCTGGTTTCAAGGGCAAGAAGTCCAACGCTCCAAACTCCAAGGTTGTCAAGAAGGAGCAGAACTTCCCTTCCTTGTAAGCGAGCCACATTCGCACAGCGTGAGTATTTCGTCATCGCGTAGTCTTTCACTGCAGTGCGAGACAAGCCGACATGAATGTACATTTCCACAGTATAGTCATCGTATAATAAGTAAACTTTGACGCGGTGGTGACCTTGATGTAGAACGCTGAGCGTGAAGGTTCCCATGCAGAGGCAATATTGCACTATTGAGCTCGTGTTTTAAACGGTAGGTGTGGAGCGGTGCGTAGAACCGGAGGTGTTGTGAGGCCGGAAAAGGCCTTGTGGAAGGAAGCCGAAGCCCAATGGTTCTTCACCGATACAAAGTATTCGAAAACCGAAAATCAAGGGTGCCGGGCCACAGTCGAGGCGACCATGGGACCCAAGTGTGCTGTGAGTGCATGTCTAATACCCAGCAGATTCCGGTGACATTTTCACTGTTCCTCTTTTTTGGGAATTCAATACGGACCTGCAAGTTTTGGGAGCACCAGCTCTTGTGGTGTGCTCTGCCATAATCGACACCGGCTGCAAACGGCGCGCCTGTGCCTGATGCCTGGTCGCAGTGAGAGGGCCAGTCCGTAGGGCCAGAAAGGGTCCCTATAGGGAAATAAGGCCTGCCCATAAGCAAAAAAAAAAGGCCCATCCGCAAGGGGAAAATTGGGCCGGCCGCAGGGAGAATTGACTTGCGCACGGGGCCACATGGCTGGAGCAGCCGCACTGGGGCCCCCACCTTAAAGTGGAGCCAAAGGCTCTCCTTCCCACAAGAAAATGGACAAGGAAACCGAGACTTCATCACTAGGAGGAAGAGCCCAAAAACTTGACGTCACGTGCATGGGCGGGTATTTGCGGCGCTTCCTCCCCGGGCCTCACGGCCTGGTTTTAAACCCGGCTCTATTTTCGGCTCCAGACCCGGAAGCTGTGACGGGCCTCAATGTAGGCGTGACTTACATTAGCCGCGCAGTCACGAAGCACTTCAAAAATGGACGGCTGGCCTGAGCTGCGGGTCCGTTGTTTTCTCGGTTGCACCTTTACATTGTTTGCCCAAACACAAACACACCGGCAACAGCGCTTGTGGTGCTGGCTCAAAAAGCAGGAGCTACGTACCTTGGCTCGTCAATGGACTATTCCAAAAGACGCCTTTTTAATGGAGGCTTTTGTTAGCAACTTTTACTGGAAGCTTTTGTTAGCAGTTTTTACAGCAGGCTTTTGTTGGAAGCTTTTGCTGGAGGCGCTTACTGGAAGCTATTTGTGGCAGTTTTTGTGTGGCACTTTGTGTTTGTTCTGTGTTCTGTGCTGCGGCAACTGGGGCGGATTTAGGTTTCGCGTGCTCGGTTTGGATTGGGGCATTTTTTTCTGTTGGGGCCTGGGAAACGGGCCCCGCAAACACGGTGCGCGCGCCTGGAGGGCCTGGGTGCAGGACGGCGACTTGGGCCCGTGGCGTTGCGGCGTGCTCGGAGGATAAGCGTAATTTCCAGAAAAAAGATAATACCAGCGGGCCGTACTACTCATTTATTTTCAGCTCCACCGACGCTGGCACGAAAACACGCATCGCAACGCTACACCACACAGCCGACAAGACTGTTCCTTATTTACTGGCGCCCCGCTTTGATCTGAGCAAATTCCATCTTTTTGCCTGGGCCCCGAGCCACGCTATCTGGTCATTTGTGACACACCGCAATTTTCAGCCATTCTTCCCGCCAAAACTGGCCTGTTATCGTACGGATTTTTACACTGGATCTCCCCACCTTGCCTAGACGCTCGCACACATACACCTGCGAGCCGCCGAACCCTTGGATTATTCCGTTTGGTGACCCCACAATGACGTCACTACCACCCAATGTTTCACAACTTCTGTCGCCCTCCCCAGAGACCCAGGCCCAGCCCGAGCCCGGCTCTTCGGAAAAAAAACACATCACCAAATTGTCCACGTCATCGCCCGAGGCAATTCGCGTGGCCTCGGCCATCACGCCCAACAGACTCGCCAACTTGCTTATGCGAAACGGCCCCTTGGCCATCCGCCTTATCACGGCGCAGTTGTCAATTGAGGTGCCTGGCTTCGATCTTCTCTCGTTGTCCAAACAGAGGCGTTTGATTATGGCAGCAATGGAACAAGGCGACCCGCAGAACAACGTGGTGTTCGAAAAAATCGGCTGGGGCCAGTGGGCTGTTCGCCACGTGGACTCGGACTATATAGTCACGGAGCCGAACGGGGCTCTTGATGGCAGCGCCCGCTTGAATATCCACGAGCTCCGGGAAACCGCCAAGTTGGGCTGGCTGAAGAAGATCGAGCCTGCGTCCGAGGAGACCCCGCGCCCGCCTCGCAACGGCCACACCACCAAAGCCGCCAGCAGACGCGACTCGATATCCAACAACAAGTCCAACATGCACAACTTCAGACTCCCGGGAGAGAAATTGGAGTCTCCTTCGACCGGCATGAGCGACTCTGAGCAGGACTCAGACGACGACGAAGACATGGGCCAACCCTCTAGCGGCTCGGACGAATTGACCAACATGCGCAACTTGAAGATGCGTTACTTCAATGGCGCCGATGACAATGCCATAGACGAAGACTCTGAAGAAGATGTTGTGGACGAGGACGATGCGCTCTTTAAATTTGAAGATGACGAGAACGGCTCCGCCATGGCCAAGTCCAAGAAGTCTCCGCCCTTGAAGTTTGCCAATCGGGTGCCCACGAAGTTCAGCCCTCCACCTGCGCTCTCTGGGGGCCGCAGAAAGCTGTCTTCAGGGACGGCGCCAAACTCGGTTGTCAAGAACACCAATCTTCACGGCGTGAACCGTCACCAGCTCTTCAACCGGAGCCGACTCAATTCAATTGAAAATTTGGATGAGTACATTCTTTCTTCTGCGAGGAACTCCTCGCTCTCGGTGCTGTCGCCGACAGTGCACAACAGCTCTCTCCCATCTTCATCTCCGGTGGGATCGTGGAACGGCAAAGGCGAACTTCTTCACAAACAAGAACTCCCTCTCCCAGGCGACCATATAACCACGGCGCTTCAAAATGCTGGCCGGAGAAAGCTGTCTTTCAACGAATCAAGCATTCGTTCAACTCTATCAACATCCCTACCTAGAGGTCATGCGTTATCGCAGAAACCTTACGAGAACGGAAACAGCTCGATACTGTCGACTTTCTCGAGCACAGGACCACGGAAAGCGATGGCTGTCCAAGATATGGCCAGTGATACGGACGAAGAGGACTGGGCCACTTTGGGAGCAGAGACGCTACGAAGCCATCCGGTGAAGACGAGTAACCCAACAGGCGGGAAGTTACAAAATGAGGAGAGATCGGCTGCCAGGGCTCTTGTGGATCTCATGGGCATATGAGAGTGACAATCGCCAGATACGAGGTTGGACGTACAAGACCGACACTAGTACGCGCTACATGCTTTAGTTCACGAGACTAAGGATGTATTTCAGGACGCGTTCTGCCCGGAATCTTGAGAGCACCAAAGCTATTGATACCTATAGAAGATGAAACAGACCAGGAGATTGTGAAAGAGACAATTGTTGGAAAAATGACAATAAAGGAATAACAAAGTGACCAGAATCAATCTAGAAAATACAGAAAAAACCCAACAACAAGCAACTTCCATGTATTATCAGATTGCCTTTGCCTTCTAATTCAAATGCGAGGCGGCTCTCAGGAGCAATACCTGCACGCGTTGACCCGCGCGGTGTTGTAATTTCGCCAGAAAGGGAAATGTGATTGGGATGCGTCCGCGTTCTCGCTGTCTCGAACTTTTACGGATATATCTTTTTTTTTTGTTCAGGCCTTTTAGCTGTTGAAACACACTCACCACAAAAACTTGAAAATGTCAGCCACAGTGGCCTTGCCTACTGTGCAAATCAATGTCAACTACAATGACATCAAAAACCAGGTGCGGGATTTCTTCACCCACTTCAAGGCGTCGGTATCTGAAGATGCGATGGACTTGGACGAAATGACCACGGGCGTGAAATACTTGGATCTCATGCAGAAGATTGCAAACCGTGAAATCTCCACTCTTCATGTGGAACTCGACGATATCAAGCTGTACCAGGAAAACCAGTTCTTTGGTTCGCAGCCACTGGCCAACGATTTGGTGAGTCAGGTCCAGAAAAACGCCTATCACTACGTGGAGTTGTTCAGTAGCGTGGTGGACGAATTGATGCCGGAACCCACCAAAGACATCTCCTACAAAGACGATGTTTTGGACGTGATTTTGCACCAGCGGAAGTTGCGAAACTTGCGTGTGTCGCAGGAAAACGCCGATCAGATCGACAATTTGCGGACTGGCTTTGGCGAAAGTAGCAACCCGGACACCCAGGACTCGCAGGCCGGGGACTTGTTGGCGGAGAACTTGTTCCCGGCAAAATTGACCAGAAGGTACCATTTGTACTTCAAGCCCTTGTCTTCTGCAACTAAGGCCTTTGCCGTGAGGCAGGTGAAGGGTTCCCACGTGGGCAAGTACATCACCGTGAGAGGCATTGTGACCAAGGTGTCAGACGTGAAGCCCTCAGTGCTAGTCAACGCGTACACATGCGACAAGTGTGGGTACGAGATCTTCCAGGAAGTCAACTCCAAGGTGTTCCAGCCCCTCACGGAGTGCACCTCTGCGCCGTGCAAGACGGACAACCAGCGGGGTCAGCTTTTCATGTCGACGCGGGCGTCCAAATTCCTGCTGTTCCAGGAGGTCAAGATCCAAGAAATGGCCAACCAGGTGCCCGTGGGCCACATCCCGCGGATGCTCACAATTCACGTGGAGGGCGACCTTGTGCGGTGCATGAACCCTGGCGATATCGTGGATGTGTCGGGAATCTTTTTGCCATCGCCGTACACCGGGTTCCGGGCTCTTCGGGCCGGGCTTTTGACCGAGACGTTCTTGGAGGCGCAGTACGTTCGCCAGCACAAGAAGCAGTACGAGTCGCTTGAACTCACGGACGAGGTGAAGCAGAAGATCTCCAAGTTGCATAACGAGGGCGGCATCTACAACCGGCTCGCGGAGTCGATTGCGCCGGAAATCTACGGCCACTTGGACGTCAAGAAGATCTTGCTTCTTCTCTTGTGCGGAGGTGTCACCAAGGAAATCGGCGACGGCATGCGTATTCGTGGCGACATCAACGTGTGTCTTATGGGAGACCCCGGTGTCGCCAAGTCGCAGATGCTCAAGGCCATCAACAGAATTGCGCCGCGGTCGGTCTACACAACGGGCCGCGGGTCATCCGGAGTGGGTTTGACGGCTGCGGTCATGCGGGACCCCGTGACCGACGAGATGGTTCTTGAGGGAGGAGCGCTTGTTTTGGCCGATAACGGTATCTGCTGCATCGACGAGTTTGACAAGATGGAGGAGAGCGACAGGACCGCGATCCACGAGGTCATGGAGCAGCAGACCATCTCGATTTCCAAGGCCGGAATCAACACCACGTTGAACGCCCGAACGTCGATTTTGGCGGCGGCAAACCCGTTGTATGGCCGCTACAACCCGCGGTTGTCGCCCCATGAGAACATCAACCTCCCTGCTGCGCTTTTGTCGCGTTTTGACATCATGTTCTTGATGTTGGATCACGCCAGCGAGGCGGGCGACGAGCAGTTGGCCCGCCACGTGACGTATGTGCACCAGCACAACCACCAGCCACCAATGGAGTATACGCCACTCGACCCACAGACGATCCGCCAGTACATTTCCATTGCTCGCACGTTCCGGCCCGTGGTGCCGAAGGACGTGGGGGAATACGTGACGCAGTCGTACATCAACATGAGGAAGGAGTCGCAGAGAAACCAGGACTCTGCGCGGATGTTTGTTCACATCACGCCTCGTACTTTGTTGGGCATTTTGCGTCTTTCGCAGGCATTGGCACGCATCCGGTTCGGCGACACCGTCACCAGGAACGACGTGGACGAGGCCTTGCGTCTTCTCCAGGTGTCCAAGCTGTCGATGGAGTCGCGTGAGCAAGAAAGAGAGGACCCCACGTCGCAGATCATGGGCCACATTCGCCACACTGTGACAGAGCAGCAGACAAACCAACTCGACATGGCAAGCTTGAGAGAACGAGTCTTTGCGAAGGGCTACACTGCTGAGCAATTCGAGACCTGTATCGGCGAATATGAGGCCGTCGGTCTTTTCCAGCTTGTGGACGGGGGAGAAAGCTTGATGATTTTGGATCAAGAAATATAGTGGTGAGGCCCACGGAAGTGGTTGTGGCGGCTGGTTTTTCTTGTAGAGGTCCAATATCGGTGACAATGTACTATAACTCGAACATGACTGGAATGTAGAATGGATCAGACTGGATTGTGTCTTGGAGAAGCAATCACGGGAGGCTTTCCTGGTGTGAACTACTAGATGTAGCGTCTTCAGAAGCAGTAAAACGTGCAAAACCTGGTGATTGCCAGGCACTAGCTGTGTGTTGTGGGCTTCATCATCGGCACTGTGTCAAAATTGGTGGCATTTCTGTGCTTCTGATCATGAAAATAAGAGTTGGACCCAAAATGATGTATTTTCGCCGTTCAGCAAGCCGAGGCATAGATCGCTGATTTCCGTGTCGTTGGCTTGGTTCTTGTTATAAGTGCTTGTGCCGAATCCAGTCATGGAATCCGAGATTCTTGAGAGTCCTCGTGTTTGCATTGTTCCATAAGAATCGAAGTGCACGCCGTAGTAGCCTGGGTCTATACCCGAAAATTTAGCAAACTTGGTGATAGCCATCCAGAAGCAACAACTCTTCCAGAGTTATCGGATCAAACATAGTATCTAAGTAAGATAATGGTCAACATTCCCCGTGCCATATACCGAGTTGCTTGTATTTAGATGATCGTCTGAACGCTTCTAAAGCCATAGCCATAGACTTGTCGGGTTCCTTGATAGAGGGCAGTTCAAACTCATGTCCTAGCTGCGCTTCTGTTTTTCAACTCTCAAAGTGATGCAACTCGAAACTGCCTGACCCTTGCACACATTCACACTGTGGGAATACTAGCAAGATAGTACCTAGAGTGCCGAGGGACTTAAACCCAGGGCAATGCTTTGCCTAGTTGGATCTAGATAGAAGTCCCTAGATTGATTCAAAATTGGCGACGTTTCAGTTTACCTGGAGACCTCAGCTTTTGCGGCATCCCGCCATTTTGCTTGCCCGTGGCAGAAACCCAGTATTGCATGGCCCATCAACCGCTCATTCACCACTGCTTCCAGACTGCCTCTAAATCTATCTTTAAAAAGCCCTGAGAGCCAGAATAGCCATAAATCAAGAAAAGCAGTTGATCAAAAATGAGTGCGTGAACACAATTCCAGAGCCCAACTTTCCAAATACTGCTCTTCCCGTCTACTAGCAGCAGCTGCAAAATCCCATCAAGCCACCAGGCCCAATCTCCAGCAACAGCGACGCCGTGTCCGGCATATAGGCGCGCTGCTCGCAGGCTGTTCGACCAACTCCGGCACCACCAAATCAGACCCGCTTGTTTTCACCCCACCAGACTTCACTGCTGACTTCACTGCTGAATCCTCATCATGTCTCAATACGCCTCGCTTACTGTTGCCCAATTGAAGGATGCCTTGAAGGAGAAAAACTTGCCCACCGACGGCAAAAAGGCCGATTTGGTCGCGCGCTTAGAAGAGGCCGCCCCAGCAACAGAGGAGGCCGAGCCAAACACCCAAGAAAACGTCGAGGAACAGCAGCCACAGCAAGAAACCAGTGCACCTGCCGAAGCTGGTGCCGAGGCCGAAATTGCAGAGGCCGAGGATGAAAAACCAAACGGCTCCGAGGAGAAGAAGCCCGAAAAGAAGGTGTTGACTCCAGAAGAGAGAAAGGCGTTGGCCGTGGATTTGTTGACCAAGAAAATCAGACGGGCGGAGAAGTTCGGCGACGAGGCCAGTGCCACGGCCGCCAAACAAGATATGGCCCGTGTGGAGAAGTTTGGCGTGGATCCCAGCACTGCTTTGGGGAAGGAGATCGGTGCTCTAGACAGAGACATGAACAGCGAGTTGGCCACGAGGAAGGCGCGCCGGAGTGAGAAGAAGGGGAACCGGGTGCAGAAAAAGTAGGCCGCCATGAGCGGGGAAACCATAGAAGACTTGACTGGACATTGAGGCTTATGTAACAATACACGCGAAATCAGCTTAGTATCACGGAGAGCACGTCTGGGGCTGTTCCGTGCATGGAAGTCTTGAACACGAGCAAATGGCCCTGCACCGGTAGAGAGGTGCATGGGGTTGTTATGTGAAAGTGTATTATACCGAATCCAGTCAGTCAGTGTTTTTGCTTGGTGTCTACAGTCCAGGGTTCTTAGCACAGAACTGAGAAGAGGTGTTTTCGGAAAGAACTTTTAGGGCTTCTTGAAGAAATTCTTGTTTGAGTAACGCAGGCAAAAGTACCAAGAAGTGGACGTGATAGTGGGGCGCAAAGAGGAGAAGTAGCGATGACAAGACGCTTTGAGATCGCTCTTGATTGAAAAATTAGCTGATATATCATTCCAGCTTGTGCCCGATTACCATGCGATTGAGAGTCAAGAAGTAGGCAGATATAGCGCTGATCCTGCTGTGAGATTGAGTACTCTCATCTCTAGACACGTCTAATTTCTGTCCTTTGAACCCAGTACTGTGATCATGTGAGATAGGGTCATCTGGTGCTACAAAGCTTTCATGGGGATTGACTTTTTGAACGGTCTCCTTGTCAAATTGTGGGACTCAAAACTCGAAACCAACTCAAAACTGCAAGAGCAAAAGCTTATCATCTTTTGAGAACGACAAAGTGAAGTTCCCCTGATGTTGGCGTATTCACGAGGATGTGATCTGGAGTTGAAATGTTCCGTGCTGCACCAAAGTTGATTAGCCCAAATCGATCAGTCACATCAGTTCTTCAGTCATCATTTTCGGAGAAGAATATGCAATGTTAGAGGCTGCGCCTATACAGTCGAACTGAGACTTGAATTGTTGATCCTAGCAGGAACAAAGACATCCATTCAGTTTCGAGCATGCAAACTTGTTGCGTGCTAGAAATATAAATATTATCCAGCAGAATCATGTACTTATCGAAACTTGTTATTGCAATAATGGACTTTCTTTACTGCGTAGAAGTTTTTATCCAACTGAATTGGGGAATTGAAAGCACAGTGATCTCAAGAACAAACCTAAACGAAGACGCAACAAAGAGAATTTGACGCATTGTGTGTGTATGATACCGGGCAACACAATCAATCGTTTGAAAAGCTTACTTTGCGAGAGTGAAGATCAGAACTCCGACCACATATTGCTTGACCGATGTCAATTGAATGGCTTAAGCATCTTGACTTCAGCCATTCGGTTGGTGTCGAAATTATATTCTTTTCTGCGCAACTGCTGAAGGTGAGTATTGGAAAACGAATATCAATAACAGCTCTCAGGTACTTAAAGGACTTTAAGACATGAGCACCAAAGAATGCTTGATTGATAACTCGGAAATTGGGCAGTATGCCTTTTTTTTGCGTGTAGAGTTTTAGATCCCTTAGTAAAGGTATTTCACAGTTAGATGAATATTGATCTCCAATTTTTTATATTTGGAACACTTGATCTTTTGTTCAAAAAAAAAAATCGTTTTGTTTCCAAAGTTACAAATACTTCTAAAAACTCTATTAAACCTCAATGTGCACAATCACACACACACTTAAGCTCAAATCATCGAAGCTGGGATAGCGAAGTTATTCAAAAAATGTACTACATATGATTAGGCGTTAAATGTCAAGAGGTATGATTCGTATATTTCCGGCTTAAAACTGCGCGTCTGATCGACTCAGGATTCTCACTACATGTAAAAAAAGATTCTGCTCCGCTCCTTCGGACCTTGATCTAGCCAACTAACAATACAGAAGCTACAAAAGCTGGTTGGGAGACAGAAAACAACACAAACGTCTAGCAAAGCCCAAGATACTCTTTCTAACGAGCCGTGGAATACGGCGTTGAACCTGCATACAGACACACCTATAATTTCATCTCAACTGGCAATTTGATCTCCAGTGCAGATCCTGCCGCAACCCAAGTCATGTGTTCCTCAACAGAGCCTACTCCATACTACGAGGCATTGCCAGCCTCTCTTAAACCTATTCATTACGATGTTTCTGTGTTTGATATCACAGAACACGATTTCCGGGGCAAGGTGGCCATTGATCTTGAGATTCGGCAAAAGACTGACGAGGTGCATTTGCACTACCGAGACCTTGTGATTGGCGAGGTGTACGCCACATACAACGACCAAAAAACCCAAGGCTCGATTGTGGAGCAAAATGAGAAAAAGGAGTTTTTCGTTGCCAAGTTTAAGCCGGAGTTTGCTGATGTGGGCGAGCACGTCCATGTGGAAATCTTTTTCACGGGCAAGATCCAGACGAACATGGCCGGGTTCTATAAATCCTCGTATAAGGAAAACGATGAAACGAAGCACATGCTTTCCACGCAATTTGAGGCTACGGACGCACGGAGGGCATTTCCCTGTCTTGACGAGCCGGCATTGAAGGCCACATTCACGGTGCACGTGACCACCAGTACTGACATGACTGTTTTGGGAAACATGCCCGTACAAGAGGAGAAAACCTTGGGCAACGGCATTAAGGTTGTCTCCTTTGAAAAGACCCCTGTCATGTCCACGTATCTCTTGGCGTGGGCGATCGGCGAATTCGACTATATTGAGTCTTTCACCCAAGATTTGTACGTGAACGACAAGCCCTTGCCTGTCCGAGTCTACACAACCAAGGGGTACACAGTAGACGCTCAGCTTGCGCTTGAAATCGCGCCGAAAATCGTCGATCTTTTCAGCAGTGTGTTTGGCGTCAAGTACCCGTTGCCCAAGTTGGACCTCATTGCCGTGCACTCGTTCTCCCACAACGCCATGGAAAACTGGGGCCTTATCACGTACCGGTCCACAGCGCTTTTGTACTCGGCGGCTAATCTGGACCCTTCGTACAAACAGAAGGTCGCGTATGTGGTGGCACACGAAATCGCACACCAGTGGTTTGGCAATCTTGTGACCATGCAATGGTGGGACGAATTGTGGCTCAACGAAGGGTTTGCCACGTGGGTGGGCTTCTATGCGGTCGACCGCTTGTTTCCCGAATGGGACATTTTTGCTGAGTTTGTCCTGACGTCTTTGCAGGAGGCCCTCCGGTTGGACGGGCTCAGAAACTCGCACCCTATCAAGGTGGCTGTTCTGGACGCGTTGGACATCGACCAGCTTTTCGACACCATCTCTTACTTGAAGGGTGCGTCGACCATTCTCATGCTCTCCACTCACTTGCAGACCGATGTTTTTTTGCGGGGCGTGGGCAGATATTTGAACGAGAACAAATTCGGCAATGCTACATCCGAGGATCTCTGGCGGGCGGTCTCCGAGGTGAGTGGACAGGACGTTTCCGCCATGATGCAAGCGTGGATCTCCAAGATCGGATATCCCGTGGTCAGTGTATCCAAAAATGGCCAAGGTGCACTTTGTTTGAGCCAACTGCGGTTCCTTAATGGCGGTGACGTGAAGCCAGAGGAGGACCAAACAATGTGGTGGGTGCCTATTTCTGTGGTGGAGCAGAAGGAGAGCGTGACCACGGACTCGTTCAGCGAGAAGTCGGTGGTCTTAGATGCTGAGATCAATGGGCTATTCAAGATGAATAGAGATACGAGCGCCCCGTTCAGAGTCAACTACAGCCCCGACTTCTTGCAAAGCCATGTTCTCGAACACTTCAGCGAACTCTCCACCAAGGACAAAATCGGGGTCATTGCAGACGTGGCGGCCATTTCCGTTTCTGGCGACAAGCGCACGTCCACAGTGACGTTTTTGGACTTGGCAAAGCATATTGTGTTGGACCGCGATCTCGTGGGCTCCACCTACGCCACGTGGCATGAGTTGAGCCACCGCATCTCGGCGTTTGCGCTTACTTTTGGCGGCATCAACAGCGACTTGGACAGAAGCATTGCTGCTTTCTGTGAGCAGGTGTACGTAAAGTTGGCTACCAAGTATGCCAGCGAGGAAGTGAACAGAAATGACTTCTCAGGCTTGAAATTGAGGTCTCTTGTCTTGAACAACGCAGCCACTCTTAACATTCCCGTATTGCAGCAGCTTGCAGCCACTGTATTCAGTGAGTGGAAGCTGACGGGATCCATTGACTCGTCCATGAGAACTTTTGTTTTGAGGTCCGTGGTGTCTTCCGAGCACGTGAGCCAAGAAGACTTTGACTTCATCATGAAGCAGGTCACACACCCCACCTCCTTAGATTCGAGAGAAGTGGCCTTGAGTGCTTTGGGCTGTACTTCAGATCTCTCGGTCGCACGGAAAGTTATGCTGTTTTTGATCGACGACTCTGTGATTCCCACGATGGACGCACACTTCCTCGCGGTTTCCTTGTCTAAGAACACGAAGACACGCGACTTGTTGTGGCAATTCGTCAAGGACAACTATGCCAAAATCTACGAGTTGATGTCGACCAACATGGTGGTATTGGATCGTTTCATCAAGTTGACGGTTTGTAACTACCAGTCGTTTGCGGTGGAGAAGGACGTAAGGGAATTTTTTGCTGCCAAGGATGTTCACGGTTTCGAGAGAGCACTCAACCAGGCGTTGGACCAGATTCACATTAACGCTTCTTGGGTCGACAGAGACCAGGCCAGTGTTGAGCAGTGGTTGCAAAGCAGATTGTGAAGCAGTTATCAAGGACACTGAGATCATCATACTGCAATCAGTTAAAGCCACATGTATATAAGGAGCGGCAGTACTGAATGCATGATGTGGACGAGTCCGAGTTTTTGGTTGAAGCCATACTTTAGTGTCAGGAGAAATTCAGTTTGGGGCATACTGCTGGTCTCCAAGGCTTTTCAAGCATCAGTACGATAGACGAAGGATGAAATCTGTAGATGTGCAGTGTATCTGATTGTAAACAAGGGCTTTTGAAGGGACAGAGCAGAAACGGCGTATTCCCGGAACTATGTCTTTGATACATTCACAGGGTTAGTGGACTTTGACCCAGAAAATGGCCGAATCTTAGAAAGAAGCATTTTCAAATACACTGCTGTAGAGCATGGAGCGAGGTAGCACAGCTGTGGTGAAATACATTGTACTAGAAAGTTGGTGTCTCTAACCCAACCAATCTTATGAATTTTTCATCAAGAATGCTTTGCGAAAATACCTGAGTCGGTACGAATTCCTGAATTCACTGTACTGGCCGGTGAATTGAAGTTCTGTCTCTATTATACATGCACTGAAATAAAGAGCGGCTTAGTTGAAAAACCTCGGTACATATGTGCCATACATTCACCGAGCCAGCAAGCCAATCAGTTGTGGAAACAATGCCCGGGGTTATAGAAATATTGCTCGTTTCGATCGGGGCACTTGTTGTGGCTTCTTGGAGATACAAGAGGCACACAATAAGTTGTATGGACGTTTGCTCACGTACATAGACTAGGTAGTCCACGTTGGCTGAATGCCATAGCTAGCCGATGATATACATTTTTATCTTAGACGCAATGTCTCCCTAATATTTCAAAAAGGCTTATATGGGGGGTGCCTACTTGAAACACCTCCCGGACTATGGCCTACTGGCTCTCTTCTTTATTTCTCCAATTATTCTATGCATTATCTTCGAGTATCCTAGCCAAAGAAAATAAACCGCCTTTGCTCCCAAATCATCAATCACAACAGAATCATCACAAGAAGGCCAAAGCTAGGCTAAATACATGCAACACAGGCCGAAGGTAGGCTAAAACACACAACACGGGCCAAATATAGGCTGAATCATACAACACAGGCCCCAGGACATACAGTAGTACACCCCGGCTTCCGGGTCGACCTAATGGTACAGGAGCACGGAGAGAACCACCAGATCAGACCCCAATAGTCGAAGTGTTGATCCAGAAGCCCCATTCACGCACTCCCACACGAGTCTGCAATGCAGCCCTACATTCTACAGGCCCCGGGCTCTGTTTCCATCAAGAATATCCCTTTATCTACTTATGAGTCCAGTGAAACGTGGCAAAGCCTAGTTGTCGACCTTGTGGTCGTGCGTGGTGGCGTATCTGCCCGAAGGGTCCGCGTGGCAGCCCCACTCGGCCTTGGGGATCCATCTCATGACGGTGGAGGCCGCGGCCTTGGATCCGTTGAACATCTCGTCAAACTTGCATCTGTACCAGTAGGCCTCCTTGGTCTGAGGCACGTCGGCGCCCCACTCGGGCTTGGGGTTGGCAAGCTCGTCGTCCGAAACCGCGGCCTCGGCCGCGTCCTTCAAGCCGTCGATCCACGAGTAGCCCACGCCGTCGGAAAACTGCTCCTTTTGTCTCCACAAGATCTCCTCAGGCAAGTAGGGCTTGGCGCCCGGCTCGTCGCTGGTGTCGAAGGCCTTTCTCAAGATGTACTTCTCGATCTTGCCCTCGGCCGGCTTGATGAGCTTGTCCTCCGGGTTGATGGACATGCAGGTCTCCAAGAACTCCTTGTCCAAGAAGGGCACGCGGGCCTCCAAGCCCCAGGCCAAGGTGGACTTGTTGGCACGCAAGCAGTCCGCGTAGTGCAAGTTCTTGACCCTCTTGACACACTCGTCGTGGAACTCGGCCGCGGAGGGCGCGTTGGCAAAGTACAAGTAGCCGCCGAAGATCTCGTCCGAGCCCTCGCCCGACAACACCATCTTCACGCCCTGCGCCTTGATCTTCCGCAGCAACAAGTACATGGGCGTGGACGCGCGGATGGTGGTCACGTCGTACGTCTCCAAGTGGTAGATCACGTCGTTCAACGCGTCCAAGCCCTCCTCCAAGGTGAACGTGTGCGAGTGGTGGATCAGCCCGATGAAGTGCGCCACCTTCTCGGCGGCAATCAAGTCCGGCGCGCCCGGCAAGCCGATGGCAAACGAGTGCAAGCGCGCGAAGCTGGACGTGTGCAACAGGCCCGACGCGTCCACGCCGGAAAGCTCCTTGTTGGCGTCGATGCCGTCTTCTGGCGACGCGGCCGTGGCGGCCTTCTGCGTCTCGCGCGCGGCAATGGCGGCAATCAACGACGAGTCCAAGCCGCCGGACAAGAGCACGCCGTACGGCACCTCGGCCATCAATCTCTTTCTCACGGCCATCTCCAAGGACTCTCTGACCTTCTTGTAGTCGACGCGCAGCTGCGGCACGACCAGCCCGTCCCACCACGAGGGCGTGAAGTAGCGCGTGATTTCGTCCGTGGTGGAGTCGTACACGTGGCCGGGCGGGAAGGCAAAGATCTCGTCACACTCGTCAATGAGACACTTCAACTCGGACGCAAAGTAGCGCGTGCCCGGGGTTTTGGACGACTTGCCCATGTACAAGGTCACGATTCCGATGGGGTCTCTGGCGGCCACGATGCGGTCGCTTTTGCGGTCGTACAACGCAAACGCAAACATGCCGTCCAAGTGCTTGGGCGCATCGACGCCGTACTTTTCGAACAACGGGATGATGGGCTCGCAGTCCGACAAGGACTTGTACGCGTAGTCCGCAAACTGCTCGCGCAACTGGATGTGGTTGTAAATCTCGCCGTTGACTGCCAAGGAGTAGCGCAGGTCGGGCGACACGATGGGCTGGGCGCCGGAATCCAAGCCCACAATGGCCAATCTTTCGTGGCACAAAATGGTGTCGTTGGCCACGACGTTGCCGGACCAGTCGGGGCCTCTGTGGCGGATTTTCTTGGTGTTCTGGAGCGCCTTGTCCTTGAAGGCCTCGACGTTGGGTTGCCTGAAGGCAGCGTAGATTCCACACATTTTGAGATGAGATGGGAACCGGAGAAAGAAAGAAGGTAGGTTTCTGATGTAAGAGCCGGAGGGCAGTGCGCGCTTTTTTTTCACCCCCGGAAGTGGCGTGCGGCCGGGGCCTTAGGCGGGGCCGGGGGGCGCGCGCTGGGCCGGTAGGCGCCATTTCCGGGGGTAATTGCTGCACCCTCGGAATGACTCAGCGGTGACTCAACGGCCGGCTGATGCAGCTGATAGCGCGAGATCCGCGACGGGGCCGCGTCGGGTTTTTGACAGATAAGAGAGGAAGTTGAAGGCGTTTTTGGAGATTGAGTGAATGAGCTGGCGGCTTGTTCCGGTTTAGGCAGGTGTAGAGTGATGGTGGACCGGTGTTGTTTCTTTTTTGCTGGCGAGTGCTGACTGGGGGGTGCCTGGTTCTGGTCTGTATATGCATGTCATGGAGGCTGATGCAGTGTCCAGAAGTTTATTAGAAAAGAGCAGGGCTCGGTAGGTATGATGAAACAGAGGCACTGGGTAGTGGGTTTCTTCGTCAGGCCCCATCTTGTCATGGTGAAGGAGTGCATTTGATTATATAGCCCCTGATGTCCTGGATTGAAGATCAGAGAGAGTGAGGTAATTATTCTAAAATTGATATGAAGGGCTGGTGGTCCAACTAGCTCGCATAAACCAGGTGCATGATGATCTGATGAACATGCACTGATCAAGTGATCTTATGACTTGCATTGATCTTGGAATTCGAATTATCAACTTTCCCGATGGCCAATCAAATATTATAATTTTTAGAAACAAAAACATTTGATGCAATGGGTGTTATTTATGAGAAGTCCAAAGGTGCCATATGCCCTTTAAGTAAAAGTTGAGAACGGACTGCCAATTGCCAGATGACCAGCTGCATCGAATTGATCTGACGGTACTGGCCTATAACCCGGACCGCTGTGACGATGTGAGCCGATCCAAAAAAAATTTAGTCAATTGGACCATCGTACCAATACTGGAGCTGAAGATCGCGGATCGATCTAGTTGCGTAGGCTAAGTGCATCCAACCAATGTGTAGGTTTCATACCCAAATTAAGGTGGTAGACTAGACATGTCCAGCCAGCCGGATGATAGGCCACATCAAACTAATCCGATTGACTTGCACCCGAACTCAGGCGAAAGCGGCGTCCGACCTACCGAAGGCGACTTTTTCGCACGTTTCTAAACGGTCTGAGTTTAGTAAAAAAGACTCAGCCTTTGTTGCCTTATCGTCTCCGGAACAGGAACCTCAAAATCTGATTCCAACGGCTGCTACTGGTATTGACCCACTACCCTCCCACCTTAGTTCAGATAGACTACAGTACTGGACAGTGGCAGACGTCTACAATGCCTACACCAGCACAGACTCTTTGACATTCGGGTTATTGCAAGACTCCCACTTCTGTCAATGAATGCTGCGTCGAAGCTCGCAAGGGCCTCTTTGAGTTCTGCATTGGATTCTGCAACTTACGTGTTATCATCTGCCGCCAGACCGGATTTCCTGGTCCTCGTATCCTTTGCAAATTCTTGAAGAATGACCTTGACATGCATATAACGCAGGACTATTCAAATGACTAGCAGATAGAGCAATACAGCTCTTTCGGAAAACTATTCATTACAACCTTTATGCAGCCCGAAAAAATGCAACGATCAATACTTGTACCTCTCTATTAAGATGGTCGGGAGAATCTCTTGGCATACATCCGCTTGTGGATGAGTTCTGTCTCAGGTGGTGTTGCTTTAATTTATGTTCTGAGAGAAGACTTCTGCTTGAGAATCTCATATCATAGGGCGTCACTGGAAGGATGTAAGACTCCACCACTAGAAGAAAAACCATAAAAAAACCTATAGAAGATAGCATAATTGGCTCTTTTTTTTTTTTTTTTTT